AACCCTGGCTAGTCACACTTATTTTCGAATCCTTGATTCGTCACACTCCGGTCCGTGAGACCTCTCGACTTTGTCGCTTTATCACTTTCGTTCTAATTAATATTTTAAAGCTTGTAAGCTATGTGAGAATTGGAAATACTGAGTCTAAATAAGATGTTTATGATATCAGGTCGAGAAATTCGTATCGATCAATGGAAATCAGCGCGGTACCTAACGCGTTGTAACCTTTAATTCTACGATACAGCGAGAGTTAAGATAGCAAAATAGGTTCAGTTCCATTTCTAATAATATAATTTACTCCTACTTTGATCCTGAATCAACTCTCGCAAGGAAAGGGTAGAACAGAACATCAACAGAAAGGTATCATGAATAATCCAAATATATAAATAGTGGAATCATATGGAGCTTCTTCATGTGAAGAAATTTTACTTTCACATAAGATCATTATACATATACATGTTTTCTTATACGTGAGAACATGAGTCTTGAATTGATACTAATTTCTTTTTCCGTGTAGAATTAAGGATTCAAAGGAGAAGTTAATAGATGTCAATGTAGGGGGCCTTTCATTAGTCTATAGCTCGTCTAAGTGGCCGCGAACTATCCTAAAGAGTCAAAGTAGCATCAACATTTCGACCCGGCTCCCTTTCCCTCCCCGTCGACGGCAGATGTAACTACGTGTTCGACGGGAATATGCGCGCGTTATCTGCTGACATTACGGAAGGTCTCGTAAAAATAGCGCGGCTATACACAGTCGACGCGGCTATAAACTAAACCGCCCGAGACGACGACGACGACAACTCATGCACAACTCATGCGCACGTGGGGATGCGTAATTTGCGTTCCGTGTGTCAGAGAGGCGCGAGATAAGTCGGCGCGACCGCGGAATATCGGTTTCTCCGATATACCGCGCGCGCGCGGAGTACGCGTCACCGCGACCGGTAATCGCCGGTATTACCTCATCAGTCCAGTGAAGAACGCGCGCAAAAGGCCGCCCGTTTCCAGCGATGACGACACCGCCGACGGCCGCGTTGAGTTTGCATGCCGACCTGGTCGAAAAGCATCATCCTCGTCGGCCGACAAACCGGTGATTATTTCGATACGAAGGTTTTGCAATTGCGTTCGATGTGCTGACGATGAGCGGATCGGAAGCTATCACGGAAGGAAAGAAGGAAGGAAGGAAGCCGACCGCGCTTGTTCAAGCCCATTATGCGATTGAAATTGTACACGGCTGTTTTTTTTTTAGGGGGGGAGGGGGATTTGGAATTTATATCATCAGTCTTACGTTTTAATGTTTAACTTATAATTAATAATTTTTATTTTCGTTTCAATATTGTTATAAAATTGCTTTATTACTCATGCGGAACGACCGATGTTGAAACGCACAGTGATAGATATCCAAAACACACGTTGCGCCGTGCGGACTTATCGTTGTGTATCTGCAGCGGAGCAGATCGCAGTTCTGTCTGAAATTGCTAATAAGAATTATTTTTCCTTCTACTTACTCCCCTTCCCCTCTTACTATGCGCACCGAAAATATTTATTTCTCCATACGCGCTTTTATCTCCGTCGTAGTTATCGTCGATCGCTGATTCGCAGCGCGCAGAGTGAGAAAATGAGAGAAAACGTCGTGCACCGAGGCGTTATTGCGTTATCTAATCGGTTTCCGAAGGGCTTGTCGCGGTCTTCGTCGATAAGTCGTCCGATATTCCTTCCTCCGACTCGACGAAGTAAGTACCGCTCGAGAGAGAACTCGCAAAACACGCGGCCGCGTCATTAAGAATGCGATAATCCGCATTGTTGCTACCGCCGGTTGCTGCTTCCTGTTGCTACCGTTGTGTCGTCGCCGGCGGAGAACTCTCTCGAGAGAGCTCCGGGAGCTCCGCGGAATGTTAACGACGATCGTTTTGTGCGTCGGCGCTGATTCCGTGCAATTGAGGCTGAATTACTATTTGTCCAGGGCCTCGTCGAACGAGGCTACGATCACGCTCGAGTTGCAGGCAACGATGCAAATTCTGCGGTTCTGCGAAGCGTGTCGGTCAGGGTCGCTTACGCGCGGTCCGCTCCGCGTGCAGCAGGCTCCTTTTTTCGCGCGGAATATTTATTTTACCATGTGCCCGCGAGAGATGTTGCGATATTGCGGGTAACGTTGTGTTAGCAAACACAACGGACGTGTTACTCCGGAGATTCGCGTGACGACCAGATGTGCTAGATTCTAAAATCTGCCGTTCTTCCTCGACGGATCCGCCGAACGGAGTTAACACTCAAACGTCGGAGATTGAGAATTATCTAATTTGCTTCCCCGCGCTTTTCAGTGTTATATTTATAAGGCTCTGAAATTGAAATTTGTATACATAAACGGGCTGTTTAAAGAGAACCATACACTGGCTTTTGTGCGAAAATTATGTTTAAGCATTGAAAAAGGGAATATCTAAAAAGAAACAATATATTCCGAATGAGCACTAATAATATGTTTACTTGTGCTGATATACACATTTTTGGCTGACAAATTTTTTGAAATGAGAAGATACGCAAATTTCTTAAATCTATAGCTCTTCTTGCGAATGTTTTTTTTTTTTCTATTTAAATGAAAGAAGTCGAGATTTAAGTGAATACGTTATTAGTGCCCACCGATTGTTCACTTTTTAAATATTTTTTCCCTCAGTGTAGAAGAATCAGATTAATAGGTAAATGTAATGCTGTTTGCGCTGAAGATGGTCTAATGTAAGACCGACACGTACAGACGTTATTTTGACTATAACCTTTTCGTACTCATAATATTTACCAACTATCTGATCTCCCTATTAACCAATATTTTCACACGGAAACCAGCGTATGGCTCTTGCCAGTCCGTTTTTACATCAATGTTGTGATACATTTTTCTTTGCATTTCACAAATAATATTTATGTACCGTATCCTTTTTAGTTCTTTGCTTATCGCTTTTTATTGCAATTTTGTGTGTGTGTGTGAGAGAGACGACTTAAAATTATATTAAATAACTTATATCTAGTATTTTCGTTTCTCTCTTCCGCCAGTGTTAATTGAGTTGCGTTCGCAGGAAGGTGAAAGTCTAAGTGCTCGAATCGTCATTTGGTTGGACGTCGTTTCCCGACGTTCGACCGCGAAAAGCGATTGAGACTTCGTCGATTGAAACGCGCGTTACCTGTATGTGAAATCACGCTTTCGCGATAGGAAAGTTTTACGAGGGCCGATCGTTGGACAAGGGGGGGGGGCATTTGGCGGCGAGACGTCGTGGCGCGTACTCACTTCGGCGCGATCTATCTCGAAGAAAGGTGAACGACCGCTACAGTAAAATACAAGTGCGTGCATGCGGAATGCGCTCGGCCGCGCGACTCGCCTGCAAAATGTTACGGAATCACTGTCGTTTTACATAACGTGTATCGCTCTCCCGGGGATGGACACAATGCATTAGTGGCGCGCACGCATGCACAGAGACCGCGAGGGTCATTACGAAATAATCGCGCTCACGTAGGCCGCGCATTCGTGACATTTTCACGTGGGAAATTGCCGGCATTATCGCTACCATTTGATCACCGTGTTTTCTCCTTGCTACGTTGGTTCCTGTTATTTAGAAAAGTCTCCCCACCAATATTATCTTGTGAAAGATATATATAGAGAGAGAGAGAGAGGTAGGCCGTAATGGCGAAAATAAGCGTTTACGTTGTAGAAAAAGCTGATCTTCGCCCCCGACATTAAGAAAAGAAAGAAGAGGAGGAGGAAGAGGATTTACGAGGAGAGGCCTTGTACTATTATAATCGTTACGAGATCTTTTACCTCACCGTTATTTTTTACTTCTTACGTAAGACTTTTCACGCGAAAGGGACGGCGTGTGTGTGTGTGTGTGAGGCACAACACGTTATTTTTACGAGTGGAAGTGGGAGTGGCGCTTACGCGCCACCGAGATATGCACCCTCGTTGGGGAAGTTCAAGGATAGCATGGCGCCGCAAACCGCTCTATACTTCGGCTTGGCCGAAGCCCCCTCGCGACCCACGACACATCGTGCATTTTTGTTCTTCATTAATAACGAAATTGTAAACGGTCTCGATGTGCACCGAGGAGCGCGTACGGCAGCCCTCGTAAATATTGATTATTTCTCCGCGTCGCCACCCTCGGGTCTAGACGTCGGGATCTAGAGGCAGATATACCGCGTCGACACGCGACCTTCTCCGCTTTCCGCACCATCGAGATCGTAGAAAAATGTCGAGATAAGTTGCACCATGGGCGCGCCCTTTTGATTATTTTGTTACATACATGTATATATATATATATATTTATATTTGATATAGGGTGTCAACATGGACAAGCTTTGTGAGGTCGTAGAACGGATTGAGGTGAACAAAAAAGTCCTTTATCATTTTGCAAATAATGCACGTAAATTTTTGAGTTATTCATTAAAGAAGCCTCTATGCATGCATCTATGCATCCGTTTTCAATCATTAATAATTCGACATTTTGCTTGTGCTTGCAAAATGGCAGAGAATTTTTTTGTCCACCTCAATCCGTCCTTCGCCCTCATGAAGTTTGTCTCTTGAGATACTCTGTACATATATATATATATTTTTTTTTTACTTATTTATACAAGGTAAAGCAATAATTTTTACTCTCTTTGAATATCTTCGAAAAATAGAAATATTTCATGAAGGTGGAAAAAAGTTGATATTCACAGATGTTCGAAATGATGAATGTAATTTCTGTCGGATACATTTTTCCCCCACTTTCATATTTCCAAGACATTCGAAATAGTAATAGTTTATTGCCTCATTCTGTATAATATATATATTATATAGATTGAAAAAAAAACCTACATATATCGATACTTGAAGAGTGACGTGCTTGTTTCCGCAACACGGAAATAAGATCGACCCTCGATCGCAGTTTCCTTTTCGTCGAACGTTATACGTTACACCAGGAAATTCGCTTTCTCTGCCTTCTTCCATTTGGCCGGTTCCGGAGATAGAACTGCCCGTTTAATTTCAGGTTCACGCGCGAATAAAGCGGTAACATGCCGGAGGAGCAGAAAACCGCTGGTGCTCCAGCAGAGGCAACGGCGGAGAATGGGACCGGGACGAATTCGCCCACGAAGAGTCCAGTTAGCAAGGGGAAGATGGCTCTCGCCAAGGTTACCCTCCTCGACGGTACCGTTAAGGATTATTACATCGACGTGAGTCGCCGAAGAGTTCTGGCTTGTGTATACCAAACATGAAAAATAAAAAAGAAAGAAAATAAATGAGAAATCTCGAGTCCATCCGTCGCGTAACGTCGTGTAAACGTTATCTGGTCTGTTGCAGAGGAAGGCGAGAGGCCAAGAACTTCTCGACATGATCTGTCAGAGCATGAATCTGCTGGAGAAGGACTACTTCGGTCTCATCTACGAGGACAGGCACGACCCTCGCAATTGGCTGGATCTGCACAAGAAGATCGCGAAATTCGTGAAAAGTACGGGAGGAGCAGCCGCGATGTCTCGCGCGCGCTGTCCGCCATCATACGCGAAAGTCGGTATCGCGCGCCGCGCTGTATTTCCATACTAAAAAGTTCACACGTGCTTTCAGACGAGCCGTGGAAGTTTAACTTCGAGGTGAAGTTCTATCCACCGGACCCGGCGCAGCTGCAGGAGGACATCACGCGTTATCAGCTGTGCCTGCAGATCAGAAACGACATTATCACCGGCCGCTTGCTCTGCTCCTTCGTGACGCACGCTCTCTTGGGCTCTTACCTGGTGCAGTCGGAGGTCGGGGATTACGACCCCGAGGAACATGGGAGAACGTACCTGAAGGACTTCAAGTTCGCGCCTAACCAAACGCCCGAGCTCGTCGAGAAAGTGATGGACCTTCACAAAACGCACAAGTAAATGTTCACTTCTACTCGTAGTGTCCCTTGGATCGGCGCGATTGATTTATCGCATACTACGAATCTCCCGTCGGTCTTTTCCAGAGGTCAGACACCCGCCGAGGCGGAACTGCATTATCTCGAGAACGCGAAGAAACTGGCCATGTACGGCGTGGATCTTCACCCCGCGAAGGACTCGGAAGGCGTCGACATAATGTTAGGTGTGTGCGCCTCGGGCCTCCTCGTCTACAGGGATCGCTTGAGAATCAATAGGTTCGCCTGGCCGAAGATACTGAAGATCTCCTACAAGAGACACAACTTCTACATCAAGATCAGACCGGGTGACTTCGAGCAGTTTGAATCCACGATCGGATTCAAGCTGGCCAATTACAGAGCAGCGAAGAAATTGTGGAAAGTGTCGGTGGAGCATCACACTTTCTTCAGGTAAGCGCAAATACCGGTGATTAAAATTCTCTTTTTCACTTATTTATTTCTCAAAAGTAACCTCGGGTACATGTGAAGAGGATAGAATAATTTACTACAATTTTTACTTTTTCTTTTGTTTTTTAAACATACTTGAACGTACATATTAATAGATTAAAGCAATTTGAAAAATTGGCAAAAATTATTACTTGGCATATGTTTTCCTGCACAGACTTATGAGTCCGGAGCCTGTGAAGAAGGTAGGATTGATTCCGCATCTGGGATCTCGTTTCCGATATTCTGGAAGGACTCACTACGAGACGAAAAAGACTCCTATCGACAGGCAACCTCCGCAATTCGAGAGGTCCTTGAGCGGCCGACGACTTGCCTCCAGAAGCATGGATGGTAAATACGATCTTTTGTCACTCGTGAATGATATCCAAACGTGGAATGTACGATAAAGTAACGATGATCTAGTGGAGAGAGAGAGAGAGAGAGACACACTTTTTAATTGCTACAATTAAGATTACACACACGTTCTCACGCTCGCAGAGGGGTATGTCCGATTTCAAAATTGTTTTTCATTAGGACGAGCTTGCACAAGCATGAGTTCTTGTTATACTAGAGTGGCATTACTCTTGATCTATGTATCGATTTTCTCCGAACGCGTCGTTTTTTTTTTTTACTCTCTGCAACGTTTCCAGTCCATATCCGCTACGAGCCACAAGTGCCTTTTTTTACAATCGTACTCTCAAGTCTGTGTTATACTAAGATGTTGAAGTAGTGTGACTGCCTTGTACAGCGTTAGGTGGGCCTAAACCAGTCGAAACGTATGGTTCAGAACCGAGCAAACGACACACCATGAGTTATGAGCCTGAAATGCTTCCCGACGATATAGAGCATATAGACCGACGGCCTAGTCCAATCAAGAAACAGAAAGAGAAGGTAATATTCACGTGTTCGTGTTTCGATTTGTACATTTCTATTTTTTCTCCCATACTGTTAAGAATAACTTGCTCGAAAGTAGAGTATATATGCATGAGTTCTTCATGCGAACGTGAAATTCTCACCGGTAGAGGAATTCTCATGAAAGACGCGCGTCTCATCACTTCTAGCTCCCGTCTGCGGTCTACGCTTTCAAACTATATATACTCATCGCGGACGACGATTTCAATATAATCGACACATACACGTGGAAACATCTTACGATGCGTTACGATACGGAATTTTCGCGATAACGCAGCGGACACTTCTGCGAAAATCTCCGTCACGGAGATCGGAACACCAATTGGCTCATGTTCCTTATTATTGCGTGGGTGAATCAATCGAGCGAATTATGCACTTCTCATACATTTATATTACTAACCGCCGTACCGGCCGGTGTGTGCCAGTTTACATTGCATGTTCATTGACTCACCCTAGCATATTGCAATCAATTTCGGGCATCGATTCAGCGTGTCGAGTCGTGACGAGAGCGCGACGGTGCAACGCTGCGAGTAAAATTATGCTCTCGGTGTATCGCAAATAAGATTATCGCGCATAACATAAGGACCCGAGATCAGGAAGCGTTAGGCTTTCTTGGGAACGAAAAGAATAACGTAATTTTGCATCAAATTACATCTGTGTGTGTTAGTCATGATTATTAACCGACACGTAACTGACCATCAATAGCTCACACGAAAAACAAGTGCTGGAACAACATCAGCCAGCAGCACCAGTAGCCTGGAGGGGGAGTACGATGCGGATCGCGGGAGAAAGGTATAGAACTTTTACCCTGGGACCTCGCTTCTGCTATAATAAGAATTAACTCTAGACATGTATCAAAAATGCTGTCTCTTGTGTGTGACCACTTGGTGTTTTGTTTCTATTCAATGCATGTGTCGCTCTTTATATACATATGTATCTCTTTGATTTATTGTATTCCACGCAAAGATTTTCATACGGCCATCGCCTCAATGCCGCGGGGATGCTAGATCGTCCCCGGTTTAACACGAAGCGGCGTTCTACGCGAGCATGGATGAGAGAACTTGTGACGGATCAGTTTGTCGTTTTTCCGAGCGTAGCCAGTCGCGAGTCATCGACGTGAGAGAGCCGGACAAAACCGTGCTCTCTCTTTCTTTCTTAGTCTTACCGTTAGATTCTACGAGGAAACTGCTTGAATGCGTTAACGTCGCGGAAACCGTTAAACAGAGAAGTCCGACTTCGCGTGACGCGAATGGACTCGAGTGACGCGCGACGATTTCAATAATGTCACATATTTTGAGAGCGCAGACCGTAATCCGTAGAGAGCATGCGTTGTTGCATCCTACCTATCGCAGTTACCGCCCTGCGTCATGCAGTTTGTATTATTTTGGCGACGTGTGTAGTGGCTTCACGCTTGTTGCATGAGACGTCCTGTGACCGGATAAATTTACTTGTAGAAACCGGTCGGAGGAATCGCTGTCCTACCGCCCGGTGGTCTGTCAAAGAAGAAGAAGGATAAACAGAATGAGAATGAGAAGGAGAATCATAATGATCTGAATAATTCCGATCTGATTAATGACAATGCTCGTCTCGACAACATCGACGACAAGTCGTTGTCGAAAAAAGAAATGAAAAAGAAGGACAAGGAGACGCCGGAAAAGACGGACAAGGAAAAGAGGGAGAAAATCAAGGTAAGCTTTTTATTGCGTTGTACGCGTTGCTGCTTCTTATGATCTTGTGAGAATATTTATTGGAAGTATATCTATATATACATATATGTGTGTGTGTGTATGTGTGCGTGTGTATATATACATATGGTTAGACCAAAAGTTTCCAAATATTCCTTTTCTACAAGTAACCTGACACACGATACACTTGATTTCGACGTTACCGTCATCTGCGAACGTTAATCTCACGATGAAGCGCTCGGTCCAACAGAATTCGAATAACGATTAACCGACGAAGTATCCCGTTGAGAATGCGTTATTTCCTAATTGAATGTTTATTATACGTTTATCTTCGTCATAGTTCAGGTATGCATGGAAATTAGTGCGTACCTCGCAGAGGCAACGATAAGGCTCTCGCATTTGACACGCGTAGGCATTTTTACAATAGCAGCTTGATCGATAAATAGCGAAGCATTTCTCGTGTTAATTACACACACCCCACCGTACGTATATCGGCATGTGTTTCCGTATCGCATGTATTCTTGTGTATTACCCGAAGAGTCCCGTCGTCGGCGGTTTCCTGTTCTCCAAGAAGGACAAGGATAAGAAACAGAAAAAGAACAAGGAGCCAGACGAGTCGGTGGAGAAGATCGACGCGGAGTCGAACCTCTCCACGCTGGAGAAGCAAGGAAAGGAGCCGGAGAAGAGAACAACAGCGGACACGGAGAAGGCGCAAGAGCCCGTGGCGATTCCGCCGCAGCTGCCGGTCTACACGAAGCCTTACGACTACGAGGAAACGGAGACATCGCCCACGAAGAAGCCGTACACCCCGCACGGATTCTCGTACGAGGACAGGCCGGCGTCGCCGGGAGTGCAAGACAAACAATCGCCCACCTCGGCCAGTCGAATGGCCACCGGATTGGCCTTCAACTACGCCCCGGGCGAGGAGAAGAAAGTCGCCGAATCCGCGGAGAAGAGGAAGATCAAGGAAGCGGATAAGCAGCCGCCGCCGCTGGCGGCAGGCTGGAAGACCCCGGGGCTCAACTACGTGGAGTCCGCCGGCATGAAGGAGCAGCAGAAGAGTACCGCTCAGCCGGACGTCGACCCTACGACAGCCTTCATCGCCGGAGAACGCGAACACGCGGTCGAGGACGCCGCCAGCCAGGCGATGACGTTTCCGCCGGTGGAGCCCAAACCGGACTACCACATCTTGCCCTTGCCCGACGGTTCGATGGTAATCGCCGGTGTGATTCATACCAAAGAAGGCAGGCCGTTAGATCAGAGCCACCTCGGACCGGACGGTAGCAGGGTGATGGACGGCAAGGTCTGCGGGAAGGACGGTAAACCGTTGAAAAAGGCCGAACTCGGGCCGCACGGGGTGTACATTAACAACGGCGTGATCAGCAAGAAGGACGGCAAACCTCACCAACAGCAGGTGCTCGGCACCGACGGGAATTCCATCAAGAACGGCCTGATCTGCTCGGCCAACGGCGAAGTTGTGAAGCAGTCTCTCCTGGGGCCCGATCACGCGAGCGTGAAGGAAGGCAAGGTGTTGGCGAAGAACGGCAAACCGGTGCCGCATTGCACGCTGGCCGCGGACGGCTCGTACGTGAAGGAGGGTCTCGTATTCGGCCCGGACGCGAAACCGCTGACAGAGGGATCGTACGGTATCGACAACGCCTACGTGGTCGCCGGTGTGGTGTGCAACGAGGAGGGCAAGCCTCTCCAGCAGATCGCGCTGGTGCCCGACGACACGTTCATCTGCGACGGGCTGATCCACGGGGCGGACGGACGGCCGCTCAGCACCGGGAAACTCGGCCTCGACGGCCACTACGTCGCCGAGGGGAAGGTCTACTCGAAGGACGGCAAGCCGATCAAGCACGAGTCCTTCAGCTCGGACGGCTCCAGCGCGAAGGACGGTGTGATCTACTCGAAGGACGGCAAGTTCCTGACTCAAGGCTCTCTGCTGCCGACCGGTGCCCACCTGAAGGACGGCAAGGTGGTCGGTAAGGACGGCAAGCCCGTGAAACACGCGTATTACAAGCCGGACGGCAGCTTCGTGAAGGACGGCGTGATACACGCGAGAGACGGCAGGCCGTTGAGCCAGATCCCGCTGATAGCAGACGGCAGCTCTATCCAGGAGGGAGTGCTGTACGACCGAGACGATAAGCCACTGTGCCAGGGCCTCTTCAAGCCGGACGATCTCGTGATCAAAGAGGGACTCGTGTACAACGCCGACGGCACGGTGCTGTCGAACGCGACCCTCGGCCCCGACGGTCATCTGCTGAAAGACGGCGTGGTCGTCGGCAAGGACGGCAAGCCGCTGAAGCAGGAGTCGTTCGGCTCGAACGGCAGCTGCATCAAGAAGGGCGTGGTGCACGCGAAGAACGGCAAGCCGCTCAACCAGGACTCCCTGGTGCCGGAGGGCGCCACCATCCGGGACGGCAAGGTGTACGGTAAGGACGGCAAGTTGCTCAAGTTCTCGTTCTTCAAGCCGGACGGAAGCTACGTGAAGGACGGCCTCGTCTACGGCGGCGACAACAAGCCGTTGAACCTGAACGCTGCCTTGCCGACCGACTGCTTCATCGCGAACGGCGTGATATTCGATCACTCGGGCCAGCCTCTGAGTCGGGCGACCTTCGGCTCCGACGGCTCGTACGTCGCCGGTGGGCTGATCCACGGCAAGGACGGCAGGATCGTGCCGCAGGGCGTGTTCGGCCCGGACGGCAACACCGTGCGGAACGGCCTGATCATCGGCAGAGACGGCAAGCCGCTCACGCAGGACGACAAGGGCCCGGACAACCTAGCGGTGAGCAACGGCAAGATCGTGGACGACGCGGGCAACCCGCGGAACCTGCCGTCCTTGGTGCCGGAGGGCTGCTACATACAGGACGGGCTGGTGTACGACAAGAACGGACAGCTGCTGAAGCAGGGCGCGTTCAAGCTGGACGGCTGCTACATCCGCGACGGCCTCGTGCACGGCTGGGGCGGCCAGCTGCTGAACGCCGGCTCCGAGCTGCCGATCGGCAGCTACGTCGAGAACGGCAGGATCTACGGCAGGGACAAGAAGCCGCTGAATCACGCGGCCTTCGGCACCGAGGGCGGCTACGTCGAGAACGGTCTGATCCACGGCAAGGACAAGAAGCCGCTCGGCCACGGCGTATTCGGCAAGGATGGCAGCTACATACAGAACGGCCTGCTGTACGGGCCGCACGGCAAGCCGCTCAACAAGAGGCAGACCGTCGTCACCGTCACGAAGGTGCGCTACGGCTTGGTGTGCGGCGACGACGGCAAGCCCCTGAGGTCGGGTTACTTCGACGACGAGGGCAACGTCGTGCGAGACGGCAGGATCTACGATCCGACCGGCGAGCGTCTCAATCGGAACATCTACGACGGCGGCTTCATCAAGGACGGCCTGATCTACGGGCGCAACGGGAAGCCATTGTCCCAGGGCGTCCTGCCGCCCGAGAGCAGCTTCGTCAAGAACGGCAAAGTCTACGACGCGAATGACCAGCTTCTGACCGCGGAGGCCTTCGGGCCGGAAGGCCTCAGAATCGTGCAGGGCGTCGTGGTGGACAAGACCGGCAAGCCGGTGAAACAGGCCGACTTCGACGGGGAAGGGAACGTGGTGAAGGACGGCGTCATCGTCTGCGCGGCCAATGGGAAGCCGCTCGACAAGTACTTCACGACCATCACGATCGCGATGGTGCGCCGCGGGCTGGTGTGCGACAAGGACGGCCGGGCGATCGCGCGGGCGCCGTTCGGCAACGACGGCGGCTACGTCCGGGACGGCAAGATCTACGACAAGCATGGCAAGCCGTACAATCAGGAACTGTTCCTCGAGGACGGCTCGTACGTGAAGGACGGCGTGATCTTGGGTAACAACGGTCAGCCGGTGGAGAGCGCGAGCTTACCGAAGGATCTGCAGGAATCGCCGTCGAAGTCCGTGACGAAGCTGAAGAGGCCGCCGGTGCCGGCGACGATACCGACGATCGTGAAGACGACTACCAAGCAGTCGGTGGTGAAGGATCAGGAGGGCGTGACGCAGAATATTCAGGAAAAGATCGAGGACCTCACGCCGGGCGGCACAGGCCAGGTCACGGTCTCCACTCACGTCAACAAGGTGATAAAATACTGCGAGAGAGAGAGAGAGAGAGTGTGTGTGTGCGAAGAGAATAGAATCCTTTAGACGTCGCAATCCATCACTTCATCACTTCGTCAGACGAGAGTTGAATCTCACGGGGTAGATTTCGAAGTAATGAAAATACGGCTCGGTTCTTCTGAAGAAGTAGACAGCCTCTCGCATGCTTACGTAGTAGTTACGTATGTCATCTGGTTGTTGGGAAAATTCGCAGCGCTTTTCACGGGGTATCGGTGACCGTGAATTCGCTGGGAACTTTCCGAACGAAAACCAGTAGTTGGCCATTGATATATCTTGTACATTCCTTTTCATTTACGTGTTTCTCATTCGAGTATGTATAGATTTTGCATGTGACCAAGTAGCGTCGAGTTGATACAAAGGTTCGTCCCGTTTTTCAGTCAGTTCGTCGTCGCCCGGAAATCTCAGAATTTCAGTCCATAAAACTCCCGGTTCCTCACTGCAGTCATTTTCTTTGATGACCTCCGAGGCGAGAAAACGCAAGCCCAGAGTTCTTGCGAAGTACGTTAAAACAGGATATATGTATAAAATGATACAACACGTGGTCAGTTTCCTTTTATTTAAACAATCAATAAGTAGTAAAATAGCGTGACAATTATAGAAAATAAGTTAAAAAGGAAGATTGCGTATCATGTTAATTTTGTCGGTTACTTATTGATTGTTAACGCAGAAAGAAGCTTTTCGGAATATTTGACAAATATGCTCACAATCGATCGTACGAATATTATTTAATGGGCAATATTGCGGCGATGAAACAATTACAATTAGTCTTAATTGATTGATTCTATTTGAAAATAGATCATATGTATATTTTGATTTAAAAAGCGAGACGAACTCGTGCATCAACCCCATACGTTTGTCTAGGACGAGTGTGCATAGCTGCAGTCTATTTCGATTTCGCGATGGTCTTGTATTAGCAAAGAAAGTAGAAATCATACAGCTTTCTTCGCAGTAGACCTCGATCGTTCTGTCGCATCCGTCATCCTCGTAATTTTATAATGAATGGGCGAATGAATGCTAACGCTCATCTTAAGCTTATCTTAAGCTTGGTGTACACTGAGCGAACGAACAAGGAACGAACAGCGAATGCAGACGTTCGTTGTTTCAATTTGGAAAATGTGTAGTCATATATGCTGTACCATTCCTTAGATAGAATTTTTTTACTATTACATAACTTTTAGCCTTTCACATTTATATATATATATATATATATATATATGTATAATATTAAAATATTAAATTATAATATATAATTAGAGCTATTATAATCCTACCGTTATAACTAAAGTTCTGCGATTTTCAACCTTATGCGTTATATTACGTAAGATCGAAAATCGTGTACACTTCCTGAGGAATGCTACAACATACATCACCGTACGCCGACCATACGCCACAACGAATCCGGGCGAAACGGGACTTTATTCATAAGATTGTTCATCAAAGTGAGTTCGTACGCGTTCAAACGCAAATATACATATTCATATTACACATTCGCCGTTTGTTCGCTCAGTGTGTAATCCACCTTTACAAGCTCGCACAATCGGTTCTTCTTCGTAAGACATGATGTAGCGGTTATTCTTTTACATATTCATTCTCTTTAAAACTCTTGCTACATCTCTTGTTTGATCGGTATCTTTCCATCGTATATCTTGAGACTTTAGTCACGTTGTAGTTGTATTTAGGCAGAGGCACCGGATGACGGTAGAGCTCCATACATGACAGCGACGGCTGTCACCACGCGCACAGCTACCATGCACGAGGACCTCGAAAAGAACCAGAAGACGAGTCAGGTTTGTGATACAGCATTATTAGCGTTACTACTTCCTCGCGCCCGCCAACTCGCGTGTCTTTCTTGCAATTTGTTTGAAACTTTCATTGCGCACAGTCGGCAGATTAAAGGTTGCAACACTTTTTTTTTCGATAAATCTCGTTATTTATCCGTGAACAAAAAGAGCTGATAAAATATGCCGTGCGTCTGAAGATGAACTCATGACGATTCTAAAATATAAGATCTGACTGTGAATACCAGTCTAAAGTTAGCTTTCGCGGGATCTTCGGTAAACCTTCTCTTTCCAGCTTCTTCCTTTTCTTAAGCACCATTTTTCTATGTACACTCAGCATGCCCACAGTTCACTGAGGCGGTTCTCTGACATTGTTTTCACAATTTGTTTTTTTTTTTGGCCAAAAATTTTTTTTCGGAAGGAGGGACAAGAAGTCCCCTCACTCTAGCTACGCTGTTTGCAACTTTAATCTGCCGACTGTATCGATAAGAAAATAGTTTTTCGCTGTAACGAATTTATTATCATCATCGTCATCCACAAACTGTCTTATTATATACTACCCCCCTTCTTTACTTTGGCCCGACTTTTTCTCTCTTTATGATTTGCTACTACAATTCATTGTTCACACATTAGGTAGAGGAAAAGACTGTAGCGCACACGACCGCGACCAGCGCGACGAGGCAGGAGCAGCGAGTGGTGACGCAGGAAGTTCGAACCACGAGCCACGTGCTTTCCGGCGAGCAGGTAATTGCCGACAAATATTCCTTGGGGAAGTGAGCAGATTGATATAAGCGCGAAGCATGTGAGGAAGGGAGAGAGAGAGAGAGAGAGAGAGCGCTCGTGCAAATCGCGACATCGGTTTAACGATCTCCTCCCGGTGCCTAACGATCATGTCACATTTGAAGCACCGTCGGTTCATATAACTGTGTCGCATATATAATGATCATTTCACGTATGGAGATACGCAATAGGCACGTAAGATCCGCTTCATGTGTGCGCTGAGTTCTTCAAAACGGTTTGAGAAGCACGTTTCGAGACACGTTTCAGACACGATTTCTGCTGGTTCAATTCGAAACGAAGCCGGGAGAGCAGAGTAATTTTCTGAATAATAAAGGAGAGAAATCACTTTCGGGATAATCCCCGAAAGTCCTTTCAGCCGATTCTACTTTTTGAAATGCGTTCAGAACGTCACGGATGTCCAATGAGAGGACTCGACCTCTGGGAATTGATAAAAAAAATTCTCTCACTGGACCGTTGACTGTGCTCCGAACAGCATCGGGAGAAAGGTGTTCAAGCCGTTTTGACAGCCGGTGTACAGATACATGCATACATGCGTGCGTCATCGTGTTTTTCCGGAGTCTCTGAGTTGAGTGTGTTTTCTTCTTTTGACAATTTAGTAATTGCCTCTTAACGCTTCGTTACACGCGTATTACTACTACTACTACTACCCACTCACGGTGCGTCGCAGACTGACATTCGCATTCAAGTCTGTTCACTACGTGCAGATGCAAATAAGCGCAGCGAGAAGCGTGGATATACACATTCTCATACATACATATAGAATTTTAATACTTAGAATAATTTAATCTCTCTATATACATATATATATATATCATTTGTGCCACTTATATATACATGGTATGGTTTATTTCGTTCCTCCTTTTTTTCTATTTTTTTGTTCCTCGTAAATAATTTCGGCGGCTTGTGGGCTAACACGTTGCATGGCGCGTAGCTGTTCTCACGAAGACTAAGTACGTCGAGCTCGAGCAGCGGAGATTCAGGCACACCGATCGATCTCGACGATGACCAGCAAGCCTTCTACAATCAATATTATCAGGTAATCCATGAAAAGAAGGTCGGAAAGAAAAAAAAAACTGCCCTCCTCTACTAATACGGAGCGGAAGATTGCATGTTTAAAGCCAACAGTGGTGAACCAGGTATTCGCGTCCACGCGAGATTACGTAGTACCCTGTATCGGCGGCTGACCTAAAATGCAATGCATCTGCATTAAGGTACCCCTTTCCCAACTCGTACCTTTGTACCTTGCACGAACGTTTCTTGGAAAAGTTATGTTACCTTGCACATCGTCTCGCGACGATGTTCAGGAATGAATCCGGACAACCGTCTTACGACCTGCCTTTAGAGCACTTTGTCAGGTACATGAAGACCAAAGATATCGGTGTAAATATCGATTGTAAATGATGTTACAAGTGGAGCGCAAAATGAAACTGACTCGTATTCTATACTGTCCATTTCTATCTACCTATCTATATATATATATATATATTATTCTCCCTGATTTTCGATATATAATGTCTATTTTAATCTTGTATTGTAACTCTCTCCTCGCCGCCTTTACCGTCCGTCCATCCGTCGATTTCGCGGAACGGGGTCCACAAATCGAAGAATACCCGGGAATGACTTTGATTCAGGGAGACCCAGCGGGTGTGATCGCGACTGAAAAGCACGTTTACACGGGCGAACCGGACAGTAACGTGACAACGACGACCACGGTACCTGTAGTGGCGACCGAGACGAGGAAAGTAGCTCTCGAGAGCGAAGACGGTAACTATAGCGCCACAGGAGAGATCGTCAGCACACAGACCATATCTAGTAAAACCCGTACTGTCGAGACTATCACGGTTGGTACCGCAATGCGATAACTCCGAGTCAATTATCATCTCTGTTGTAGCCTTCCCGTTAATTTTCGCCCTTCGTTACAGTACAAAACCGAGAAGGACGGCGTAGTCGAGACACGAGTGGAACAGAAGATCACAATACAATCGGATGGCGATCCGATCGACCACGACCGAGCTTTGGCGGAGGCAATACAAGAAGCTACCGCCATGAATCCGGACATGACGGTGGAGAAAATAGAGATACAGCAGCAAACGGCGCAGTAATGGTTTCATTAAAAGAAAAAAAAACAGAGGGGGAAGAAGAAAACTATTTAACGCATACACATTAACAAGAAAGGGCACTCTTGGTCTGAAAAGAAAAAAAAATACAGACAACACGCGAAGGTATCGTAATCTTAGAAACTGATCTTAGGGAAAAGAGAATTGGTATTTACACTACGTATTATATACATGTATATTGTGCACGCACCTCGTCGTATGCGTGATATATAAAAAAAAAAACAACAACAAAGTCAGACTGAAGTATATACGCTAACGTCAATAAGTCTATAAATATTCCTTATCGGGTTAATATATTGAAGCAAGAAACAATATTAAGCTTTATATACCTTTCCCCCCCTCCTCATAAGGGTCGGGAAAATTTTCGCTTACGGCTTGCCGCGACGACTCGAGCTTAAACTCGATTGAAAATCGAGTTTCTGATAGACAGAACGAACGACGAAGCATCGACAGGATCTTTTCAATGAAGAGAATGGTACCTCGTACTATAAAACTATACAGTGTTCATATTGAAATGATTAAGAAAGTGTGTATTTACATGTACGAGAAATAAAACGGGAGAAAGAGAGAGGGAGAGAGAACATAAATAAAACATTATACATATAATGTATACATAGCCACGTGTATGTGTATATAAACGAACGAATAAGTTATTTATAGTTACGGCGATAACTATAGATAATGAAAGACGGGGTGCCCTGCAACTTAAAGTTTCGATAATGAATATTTCATAGCGTAAAGAGGAGGAGGAGGTGGTTCATAGTCATACACAGAGAGTATCCGATTGCGATGCAACAATTATTTGGAATTTTGCAGTCGGGTATAATTGTCGGAGACGTTTCAGATCGAGATATCAATGTCGAGATGTCCATATAGTCAACCAAGCCTACCGGAAGCATGTTCGCCCTCGATCTATCTGAACTCTCTATCCTGGGTATCGATCACGTAACTTTTCCCTAAGACGGCAACGTGAAAAGTGAACATTCCAAGTGTCTTCAAATTAAAAACACTTACACTTTTCTCACGAATTCACGCTAGAGGAGAAGCCGAGCTCCACGAGAATTTTTTCTTCTAGCATGAATTCGTGAAAAAGTGTGAATCTTCTAATTCGACATTTGACATTTTTACTTTTCACGTTTTCGCCTTGGAGAAAAATTACATGATCGATACCTTGATGTGGAAAAAAAATTTTTTTAATCCTTACTTTCTCTCCTTCATCTTTGAGCGGAATATATTATACACGTTGTTAACGATAAGTAAAATATTCTGGTTCATAATGTTCGTATAAAAAAGCAAGTAATATATATACATATATGCTACGATGGGTTATACATATTATATATAACTTTATCGATTCGTTGGAAAAAAGAGCTCCTCGAAGGTGAATCGATAGAAAGTAAGGTTTTGTAAGATTTACATAACAGTTGAGCGACATATATAATGTCCGTCATAATGCTTAAACGCGATAAGATGAGCTTCTCTGCGAAAGGTATCTGTATAGTTTGACTGCCTGTAAAATTGGTATTGACTTTCCAAGTGGATATTACATTATATTGTGTGACAGAGTCAGAATTGTCTAGATATTGAATATTAATATATATATATATATATAAATATATATATATATATTATTGCTAACTGAGACAAAGATGATTGTGAAATCGTCATAGTTTCTTATATCTAAAGATGTTAATGTTAGCTACTCTACGTTAGAGAAGAGATACAGAAATTTACNTATATATATATATATATAACTTTATACCAGAGCAATGTTACATTGGTCAGCGTATATGTCTAAATTTAGCTATAGCTTGCGTAGTTTTAGAACTACGATTTTACATGAACGTTCATTAGAGTTTAGTGATTTACGTTCCACCATAGCTTACAAGTACGATCTGAAATAAGCGAGACGAGCAGATATTCACAATGAGAAAAGGAACGGATATATTTCAATACTGCAGCTTTGTTTAATTTGTACAAGTGACTAAACAAAAAGATTAGCATACGAGTGTACACCGCATTCTACAAGGCTTGCTTATACCTTTGTTCTTTAACGTGTCATTTATTTTTTTTTTTTTTTTTTAACAATAACCAATAATATGTATTTTAGATTTCGTCTGTTAATACATTGCACAGATACACTTCGATTAAAAAAACGTAAAAAAAGAAGGAAGAAATATATACAGCATTTAAGCTTCTAAATGAGGAGTTTCTTGCGTATTTTTTTACTTTTTATACATTTATACATTTTTATATGAAACGCAAATTATTCCGCACGGTCTTTTCTCCGATATTTTTAATCGTATAATTTGGAGAGATGATTTTTATTTCCGAGTTTGTACTCTTGCCCAATTACTTTTGTTTTATTATTAGCGTTTACAGATTGCAGAAAATATTTATTCTATGTTTACAAATAAGATGTTGTTTATTATATCATTTTATTTAAGATATATCCATATTTTATTTTTAAATGCTAATCTTACGTTAATCTTGTGTGCTTTGCTTTATTGAACAAAGGATAATCACAGCCCCGTTTACGTAGAAAGTTTTATAATGACTTTGTAAAATGGCCGCTTGCTCTGTTATATATATATCGCCGAGTGGTGGGTTGCCTGTGTGCCACAAAATATATATGAGTTTATTACATCTTACAACAATTACTTTCTAGCGTAAGATCATACCTCTGGACGCGTTCAAAGGGATGCTATATGATTTCACACGATTCCTAATCGTTGCTAGTAAAACGATCATCCATTTTTTACATATACAAATCAGTCGGGAGATCGTATGAGTGAGTGACATCTCGGTATAAGCTGCATATGCACTCTGATTTATATTTTTCTCATATCTGTAAGCTGATGAAAAACGTTTATGTTTGTATTGTACCTAACATTCCATACTTATGATTACTATCATATGTCATATGTATCATTTTTTTGTTATTTATTCCGTCTTCTTTAAGACCATTATACCTTTACGTTACGAGACTGCTTGAAGAATACGCGTATGCTTACGCAATTTAAAATCGGTAAAACTAAAGGGTGCAATTCTAACGTTGAGTTTTCAAGAGAACACGATCCCGCCCTCCCCAAGTGGGATTTTAGCAAATCAGTCCACAGCCATTCGAAATGCAAGTTTACGATGTACAGGTCTTCAAGCAGCGTACAAATATAGCTCATAAGTTTATATTTTAATATTTCTGTTGTTCAGTTTTTATTAGAGAAGTATTATCATATATATAATATAAAATATATAGAGTTACCTAACTTCTCTCTTGCTCTATTTCACTCACGCATACACACAAACATACACATACCCACACACATCTATTTACGCAAGATCATTCATACTTTTACTGCGTCTGAGATTTTTGTACCGCGGATTTACTACACTGACATCTCCGCCTGTAACTATCACAATTTTATTCAATATACATACACCGCAGTTAATTTTACTTACGTTTGCGAAACTATTCTTAAGTAGGATAATACGAAAGTAATGCAAATGTAGCCTTATCGCTAGAAAGTTCTATAAAAATGGTATATCGTAACTCAAATCTCTGCCTGTTGCGTATCATTCCTCAATTGAACGTACTTCTCTCCCACCACGGGGGACACTTTCGTTTTCCACGGGACGAAATCACGGTAAGAGACATCAGATGGGCGGCAACGCGATCGTTTTATTGTTGACGAGAGAGCGCGTTAATCGGGTCTCCTTGTTTTTAGGTACGTTGCTCCAGAACGGCCTCGGTGTCACGTGATTATCCTTGACGCTTCTGATGCCGGACGCTAACACGCGTCACACGCGGAAATGTGTTAATCGATCAGCATGCGGACGATGATATCTCTCTCTTTCTCTCGTTATTTTTTTCTTAATACCTGATTTCCACGGTGGGAACACTTGCAGTTGATTGCCCATCGATTCGGGTGCGATCTTTATGGACAATTGCGGCCCGGGATGCTGAAAAATCGCCCGTGAAATGGACCTCTTGAAGGCTGGTGGCAAGTTCAGAGAACCTGCAACAGATTTATGCCGCCTGTGATCGCCCGTGTGTCCCCCACGATCATAGAAATTCCCGAGAGATTTTTGAGCAAAGAACTGACGAAAAAAAAACCGAACGAACTTCCGTATCAACTCAATACTTTTAAGTATTTCAGTTATCAATTTAGGTTTCCGTGCGATCAATGAAAGTGTGTGAAAAAGGGACGAAAGGATGTCCCTGTTTCAACATACTCGTTATGTCGTCTCCCAACGGTGTCTTGGTTGTCCTCCTCGTGCGTCGATGGTGCTTCTCCATCTTGAATCTCGTCATGAACCGCCGACAAGTGTCGGTTACAATTTTCCCGTCCAGATTAACTGTTCACAGAGCAAGTTCACCGACGATCTACTGAACCCAGCGCGACAAAGACAGCAAAGAGCAATCTGTGAGTTTACCTAACGAGACGCTGTTGGCGATCAGATTTTCCCTGTACCTGTAGGACTGTACGACAGGATTGCCCTGCAAGAACAAGTCCTTCAAAGAGGTCAGCGTGCTTATCGCCGTGGTCAGGTCGTCTATGTTATCGAAGAGATTATCTTTCGCCTTCAGCTTGTTCAATTCGTGAAAGCTCGTTAGATCCCTTAAGGATGTCATCTTGTTGTCCGAAATATCGAGGACTTTTAAGCACATCTTAAACACAAGAAAAACGAGAAATGGAGAAACGCACATTTGACGGGGATTTCAACGCACGATTAAGGAGGTTTGAACATTTGACCAAAAATAAGACACAAACCTATAATATGTAATATATAATACATAATATGAAAGTTAATCGAGCTGATAAAGCATAATGGAAATTTCAATGATCTTTACCATATCGTTTCCGAAGAATTATATGAATTTGTATGCGAGCATGTATAGAAAATTTGTAATGCAAGAAATTTTCATCTAATTTAATATATTTGCATATAAGATAGAAATAAAAAAAAAACTGTCGTAATATTAAAGACCCAATATACGGACGTTCATACACAAATTCACATTCCAAAATTTACATCGCAAAATTGCACATTGTATTTACAGATAAAGCAAAAGCACTACGTGGCTCGAAGCACAACGATTCACCGGGCGGTATCCTTTGACTCTCGATATGCAGCTCACGCAATTGCCTCAGGTTCTCCAGACCCTCCACCACGACGATGTTATTGTACCCTAGATAGAGCTTCTCGAGATTTTCCAGTGACTCCAAGTTCTCCATCTTCGTGATCACATTGTGTTGCAAATACAAATGCGTCAGGTTGCGAGCGGGATGCAGGTTCTTGATTTTCGATATATTGTTGCTCTGAAGATACACCACTTTCAAGCTTTTGCAAACGTCGAGGCTGCCCTGTGTGTGGTGCGGATATGATGTGGTTGATACGGATCATTCGTTCAACACGCCGATGAAACTTACGATACTGCTGATAAACATATCGTTCATATACAAATGCGTCAATCTCCCCAGTTCCTCCTTCTTCATCGTCTTACTGAGCGATTTGGCGGTCAATATTTGAGAACACTTCCTCTCGATGACATCCGTCGTTAATTTCACCATGGTTGCGAGAGAAGTCAAAGCGAAGGATCAAAGCGCAGCAAAGCAAAGCGTTGCGAGCAATCACGCGTATGTATCGATCAAATACCGGACGTAACAACGATTCAACGTGTGTATGTGTGTGTATGCGTACACACACGCAATAAAACGCAGTCGGATAAACGTGAACAAGTTCATATCACAATTTTATGCAGGGAGCGCGTATAATATTAAAAGACCGTAAGTCCGTATTCTGAATTCACAACGATGTTAGCGCGCTAACAAATCAATTTATTAATAGAGATATTTTGCTATAAACACGCGTAATTATTTTTTCCAACAGACCAGTAAAATAAGCAGAAAACCAATAATTGCAAATAAGACCGGAGCATGAAAAACCAAATTTAATATAAAATATACGATATAAAAAACACTCTGCAAAAATCAATTTTGCAATAAATCGTTATAAACAAATTATTAAATATTGGCTGTAGAACAAAACTGATTACGCCGATTGATTCTATGAAAAAAGTTACACAAAAAATACATATCATTTTTCCATGTAGCGTCTTTCATTTGTGCAAAAAAATAAATAAACATTATGCTTTATATCGTATAATCGATACCAAGAACTCAAAAATAAGTTACGGAGCAAAGGTTAAAAGAATTTTATTTGTCAGAAATTCGCATAAATTTACAAATATTACTTATTTTTAAAAAATAGATTAATTTTTAGACAATCTCCATATAAATGTATGTTATCATGGTCTCGCATTTCCTTCGATTTTCATGGCACAGATTTCTGCACGATGGCGAGGCTCTGTAAATACGTAAAAATAATGCATTAATAATTAACGTATTCCTTGCCGCAGCCATCTTGATTAACGATATATCAGAAACAAGAGAACTCTAGCGCCTAAAATTCTTACGGAATGCGTTGAATAGGATATACTTATTCATAAAATAATACTTACCTGATCAATTGAGAGCACATTTATAAAACATTCCGAGAAAACTTCCTTTTACTTTCTTTAATAAATCTCAATACCCGTAAAATTAACGTGGCAAAATTATAAGATAGATAAGTAAAAAAGAAAGTTGCATGTCACGTTAATTTAACGGTTATTTATTGATCGTTAGAGCAAAAGAGGTAAGTCTTTGGAATATTTGACAAATGTGCGTCAACCGATCGTGTCATTTTTATGGGCATACTCTTATTTTCTCTCTCAAAGTATTTCGCGAGGATTTGCATGCGTTTTCTCGTTTCTGACATCATCAAACAAGACGACTGCGACGAGGGATCGAAAGAGCCTCAACTGCATGCGAGATATCTATGACACTCACGCGTGCTATCGTCAGCACCCCTTTGGAGGATAAATCGTTCAATCCTTCTGTGAGTTCTGCGATCGATTTTCGATTAATTACCTGAAAGGACATCAACATCAAGTGATAGTTATTTCGCGGATAGCACGGGTTCGCGATAATTTCTCATAATCACCTGTAATGCGAACTGTCTTTCGGTCTCGTTTAAGAACGGCAGAAGCGCGGCGGCCAAGCACATCTGTTGGCAATGGAAACAATTCCTCGTGATAGCAGAAAAATCCAACTCGTGCGCTATCGGGCACGAGTACAACAGACGAATCGCCTCCACGCAATTGTTGACCTGCTCCGCGCTCGGAGTCACTTCCATTTCGCTGAACGGCTCGGAGATGATCAACTGCCACCCCATTCTGTAGCCGTTGCAGTTCACGATGACGCTCTGGCTTCGTCCTTGCAGCAAGATTCGCTTCAGTTCGCTCGTCTAAAAGCGCATACCGACATTATTTTCAAAGTGAACAACGGGGAACATCTGATGATCATCGATGAGTCACAGCCGCGACCATACCATTCTCAACCTCGTCATCTGACTTAAAACGCCGTCCCAAAGAAGGATGTCGTATATCCCAAACTCGATGGAAATCTGCGCTATCACGGAGAGAGCGTACGGCGAGTGGCGCTGACTTTTCCACAGGATCTGAACCAGTTCACGTTTCGAGCACGTCTCGAACGTATCGATGTTATAGCGCAATCCCAATGAGTCCAACCTGCTGATGTACTGCAGCGACTTGACATATTTCCTGACACAGCAGCGGTAAAATTATCCATCCAGCAGGCACAAGTTATATCTTGTAAAACTTATTGTAACTTAGTGAATTATTACATGTAACAACTTACAACTTATACGTCATTACAATAATTAAAATAAACTTACAATTTCAATTAAAAAAAAAACAATGTATACCTTATGACACACTAATATACGATGACCAAGTAAGAGGATCTTACGATAACTTATAAATTATTAACAGATAACTTACAAGATACAATGATGTAAGCTTTTCTAGACTTAGGTTTGGTAAAATCAAATCGTAGATAAGCATGAAGCTACGTGTCACATGATATAATTATACCTGAAAGTATTTATATCTCGTTCGGACAGCTTCTCTAGAGTGGCGGTATCAACGATAGTCTGCAATACTCGAAGCGCTCGGTATCGCATGTCGCAATCGTACTCGGCCTCGCCATGGTAACCATCGAAGCCTATATTTACGAGAAACTGGGCGAACAACGTGTTCTCACACTCGAGCATGTAGGATGCCCTGTGAGAATAGGTTCAGTTAACAATTTATAATAAGCAGCCTAGATACATATACTCTAACGAAATCGAATGACGTTTGCAGAATTACTCAGGAAGAAGTGGATGCTCTAAAGAAAGAATGCGAGGCTGTCGCCACGGAAATAGAGGATGATTCTCTGTTAAAGCAACAATGAGTGAACGAGACGGACAATGTATCACCTGAGCAAGTTGTCTTCGTATTCCGTGTTCTGATCGGACCTCATTGTCGGCAATATCTCCGTGAAGCTCTGCGACAGGTCGGCGTACCGAGGATTCGAGGACCGCAACCATTCTTGCAACAGCTCCAAGCGCAGCTTTATCGTGTTCAACGAGAAGAGCTCGCAGAGCTCGTCGACGGCGGCGTTGATGTCGGGCCTGTGGCTGGTCGCGCTGCGACATCGCGACGGTATGCTCTCGTCCCGGTACAATTCGCGCACCAGCTTGCCCGGGCTCTCGATCAACGCGAAATACTTGTCCTTCTCCAGACCGTGCGTACGCAGAATATGCTCGGACGAGAACCTCAGGTACTTGGATTCGATTTTCTGAAGACGGAAGAGAACGAGCAACGGAGATCAATACTTTTCTTTTACCTTATATATATATTAACAGTTATCTTTATATATTAATATATTCTTTGGCTTTTTATATTATTCCTTATTTTATACTTTTTTCTTATTTATTTATCCTACACTACATTCATATTAATATATTTTCCTTTTCATATATATTAATATTTCGAATGTTCACTTTTATATAGAATTCTCTTAGACACGCGGTGGCCTACAGAAATCCCGGCGTACCTCCAACATGCCCTCCTCGAATTTCGTGGAGTTTTGCGCCGCCAATTGGGAGTACTCGTAACACTCCTTCGCGGCGGCGACGCGATCCGCGCCCGGAGGTGTGTGATTGACAACGTAGTATAGAGCCGCGGTGCCGTAGTAGAATCCGTCTGAATCGGTGATCCGTTGTATGCATCTCTTGATATCCTTCAACAACGTGGTGTTCTTCGGGTTGAGCGACCATGCGGCCGGGTCTTTCGACCTGGTCAAGTTGTTCCCCCAAACGTGCGTCACTTCGCCTTTGATGGCCAGTGTGCAGACCAGGTGCATCTCGAGATTGAGGACCCGCGCAACGCTCAGCCACTTCTCGTACGTGCGTAAATTCAATTCAGGCGCTGGTGATGATGAAGCGGAGAAATGTGGATCGACTGAACATGTGTTTGATAGTTGAGTTTACCTTCGAAATGTACTCACTGATAAGCTTCCAAAAGTCGACCTTCAACAGGAACGGTAGTCTCCATTGAGCGATGGGCGGCAACGTGCTGTGTTCTGGATTAAATTGTATCCATTCGTTGTGTTCCGTGGACGTGGGGGACCTAACGTGTGCATAATCGTTGAAGTTAATGTCAACAGCAAGTTGGGTAAGTTAATTTTTATTTTCAACTGAATTAAGTTAAAAGTTATCGAAAAGGCTGATTTAATTGGGCACTAGCGCTCAGAGAGGGGGAGAAGAAAGTCTACTGACATTATTTTCACACTTCCCGATTCCCTACTGTAAGCAGTAATTTTAATATTGATGAATTTTTTTAACTTTTATAGAAAAAAAAATTAACGAGTTGAAGTTAATGCATTTTAACACTTTAATGGCCGCTCACACAACATGTGTGTGATACTACCGCCGAAGAAAATATTGCCGGCCCCTGGGACGACGTTTGACTGCGTAGACGTGCGGCCATTAAAGTGTTAAACAATTAGTTTCGGTTAAAAGTTAACTGATTTGAAGTAAACTAAGTTAGAGGTCATTAACTTTTTAACTTAACTTTTAACTTATTTGACTGGTTATTACTCAACCCTGACAGATGTTAAATTGTAACCTGTACTTGCCCGCTGCGTGTATAGTTCTGCAGGAAACGTAGATAATTCCTCTTCTTCATGTCTCTGTCTCCTATGAGATCCATTAGGATGATGAACACTTCGTAGTGGTAGAAATTGATCTAAATTCAAACGTGAGAGAGATTTATGTCTCGCGGAGGCTCGCTCGTACGATGGTTTTGTCTTTGATATCTTACGCGTTCCCAAGACATGGAGATCCACTGCTTTAACACAGACTTATCCTCTATTTCCGCGGCAACAGCCTCGCATTCTCTCTTTAGAGAGTCCACTTCTTCCTCACAGACGAGTAATTCTGCAAACGTCATTCGATTATTAGAGAGAGTAAAGAGATGATCTGTCTACAAAACTACTTGGTGGAAAAGTAATGATCGTCAAATATATATACATTGTTCATATCATTCACCTTTATTCAAGCTCGAGATCGTTATTGTCGGATTCCACGTTTTCAGCAATTTTTGCAAGTAAAGCAACAGACAATCGGTGAAATTGAAGCCAAAATTGTAGCAATAGTTTTTCAGTATGGGAATCGCGCTCTTCTTACTGTTGCTTATGATATTCTGTAAGATTTCTCTTTTACTTGAAGTATCGCTCGTGAACATTTCTGTAATCCATATACATTACTTAGATTATGCAATGCAAATATATATGTATATATATATATATATATATATATATATTTGATGATGATGCACGATACCTCTATAAGTTATTGAATACTGCGACAGTCGTTGTGCCCAGATATGCAGCAGCTTGTAATTATCGAACTTCTGCATCAACGAGCGATTTCTTCCCATGTACGAGTACTCATATCCCAGAATCAAGGCTTTGGAATGTCGAATGTGGTCGGCTTCGAATCTGAAAATGCGTGTCGTGATACACCAGCATATCCGTTACGAACGAAATAAATAATCGTGAGAAGCCAGTAGGATTTCTCTTACGACGCACAAGCTGTGGAGATCCAACTGCACGCCTCTTGGTCGGGCAGCATAAAGAGACAAGCCAGTCCCAGGTGCAGATCGAAGGATCGTCCGGTGCACAACTTTCTCAGCAAATTCAGCAAAAGCTGCGACAGCGCCGATCTCAGCTCCGCCAGTGCGTTCTCGTTCTTCGCTGAGATGCTGCAGTACGCGAAGTAGAACGTCTCGAAGATTCGTAACAAGGAATAATCGTTGTGTTGGTGTTGCAGCTCCCTCGTATTCATCAGGAAGTTGCCCAGCAATCCATCCATCTGTTCCTACGTACGAAGAAAATGTCGACGAATATCGCGAATTACTCTCGCAAATGAAACGACTGCTGCATTTTTGCATTCGGAATACGCACGGAATTGCAATCTGTGTTTTCACCATCGTCGATCCGACCTGAGTGGCACAGCTGCAGAGACATCGCGTCCTTGAACAGAGACAGCAATCTTTTGTCCAAAGATATCGCCTGATCCTCATATATTGCGTACAGCTTCAAACTAGACTTCGGTGCGGTTCCTTCTCCCTCATCGCAATAACGCTGGACAGGAAGGGTCGGACACACGTTGACGCAGGTGTGAAGCGACAGCGCAGCCGGTAAATCGTCTGAAATATCAGTTTCCGTCAATAACGTTAAATTATCCGGCGTAACGATTAGTAGAAATTCGACACGTGCTGTCTCGACAGGTGTTCAACATCGAAGCGCTCAAGCTCTTGACTATTTCCACGGTGTCTGTGTCCGCAGCAGCGTGTCTCAGTGCGCACAAGCACATCTCATTCATATCTTCGAATTCATCCGGCGTCACATCTGGATTCTTATCGTCGCCACTGTAGGATACAAGAGAGCGCGAATGAACGGATGATGGATAATCTACAGGCGTGTGAATTTTAAAGCGCATTAAAATGCAAACACTTACTCGATAAGCTGCTGCATAGCGTCCGTGTCTTTTACTTGCTTCAACAAGGACAGAGTTGCGTGTGATTTCTCGAATCCTAAGAGCGCGGCGATTTGAGTAACCATCTTATGTATAGCCGACAAATCATTCTTCCCGGCGCCTGCCAGATACCACAAATAAGAATCATTGATTGATGTGCGACAATCGAATCCACAAAACGGTCTCACCTGACAGCAATTTTGTGATGCATTTCTGCAGCACGAGTGACTTTTGCGTGCGATAACTCTTCCACGAGGCATCAACCTGATAATTCTTCCTCAGTACGTATAACGACTTCAAGTCTCTCATTATACCGATGATGTCATTGCTGAAGAAAACATCCACCTTCGACTGTGCCGATAAATTGTGTATTTTGAGCTCGAGGCAACCCAGAATCTCTACGTGATGGCCCAAGATTTCCAGTGATACGTCCTAAAACGTACAGTTGCGAATCGATTGCAATTGAACGAAAACCTGCATCTTCATCGATTTGATATTTTATCACCAGAGTACGTTTTACCCGAAGAGAAAAGGCTGTGATAATGTAATTGACAATTCCCTCGTAACAATGCAAAGCGTCAGCAATATTATCTTCCAGGTGGTATATTATGTCCATTGCTTTCTGCAGGTTTCTGAAACGAACGTCAGATATGCCGAGTGAACTAATGTAACTTCATCGATAGGAAATCCTTCCCGTGTAGATTTTGGATATCAAATAACGATACGATACCCTTCGTTCAATCGGGCGCTTATGCACCGAGAAAACGCATCTTGCCTCAATTGTTGATCGTTCTTAGCCAATACGTCTATGTCACTGATCATAGAATCACGATCTTCTTTTATGATACGTGATATCAATCTCTAAAACAAAAATTCGCCGATGTAGTGGCACACAAAAGCGTCTCCCGGGGACATCACGCCGTTTGTACTAACATTATTCACGCCAATTGTCATGTATCCGTATTTCTTTAGGACGATTTTTTTCGGAATATAGTCACGTTCGAGCTTGATCTTAGAGGACAAGCTGTGATCGAAGTTACTGCTGGTCTCTGCCAGCGTGCTTATAGTTGAGCTCCATGGTACCGGAGCCCTCTTCAAAACCTCCAAAGTTTGCTCCAATCGATTCTATGGAGCGAACGGTATGAAATGTAAGTATTTCGCAAATTATAAAATATACGACGATAGGTGATGTGGATCTTATGCTTGCCTCTAAATTGTATATAAAGTCTATTATAACAGCAACTCTTCTTTCCCATGCAACTTCTTCGCCGATCCACCAGCTGCTGGAGTTCTTTACTGTTTTCTAAAAAAAAAAAAGAGACACGTAACACTGCATATATTGATTATTATAAATTAACAAGAATTTAATATTTCAAGAGACACGGTCTTCGTAATAATTACAGAGCGAGAAAATGATACGCACCTGTATGAATGTACAGAGAACGGAGTCGTTTTGTAAATTATTATTGAGCATGTATTGCTTCAGGAATGTATTCATAAAATCGGGGATTTCGTCCAGATGAATTCTATCCAATAACATATAAGTCGCTTCTACGGGCGAATCGACGTATATGCTAAGAGGCACTCTCAACCTGTCGATCACAATTTCTCAAATATTTAATATCCCGCAATTCCCGTGAATTCTAACTCAAACTAACCACGCCATATACTGACCTATAGGCGACCTTCAATTGTTGAATGTCGGACAGAGCTTGAAGCAAAAGCATCAGCTGCTTCAGCAGAGAGTTCTGATACTTGTACTCTTGGTGGAAGTAAACCGACTGCTGATTGTCCTCGAATTTGAGCAACCTTATGAATTTTTCGGCGAAGTCCGTGCCAATTTCCGGCCATACCTTGCAATGAGATATCTCAAGATACTTCAATTTCTTCAAACCCCAAGATACGATCTCGTCCATCGCGTCGGGTAACAAAGACAACACGGTGGGTATAAAATGGGTAAGCCACGGCCACAAACACGACGGGGCCAGGTCATCGGGTAAAATTGTAAAAATATTTCGCACAGTCTCCACAGACGCGCGCTCCATTATGTCGGGAAGATGCCTTGTCCAAATTAAGGTGGCCGATTTCAGTTGACCCTGTAGAGACATCAAAACATAACGAGGAAGTGTAATACTATTGATATGGCGGTTCTCATATCGTTGCTCCTGGATTACAGTATGCCTGCAACTGCGCGGTTACAATACCATGCGTAAGTGGACGTTGAATTCGTGCAACAAATTCACTTGCGAGAATTTGATCCATTTATTCATAGCCGTGTCAACGTTCAGGGACGAGGTGTCATCCGCCTCGGTGTCTTGGATCATTTGAAAAGTCTCGAGTCTGTGCAGCGTGTTGTTTATCAAAGACAGATTGGCATTCAGTTGATCGTCCGCGTTCCCTCTCTGCGAGAGTGATATATCAGAGACGATTACACGTCGAGGTAATGACACGTGTGAACTATGTGCAAACGTAACACGTACCTTCATATCTTGCACTATTCTCTCGCGAGCGTACAAGTAGAGCTGTCTCAACTGCGTGTAATCGGAAAGGAGAGCTTTGCTGCAACACTCGGTGATGTATTGCACATTTTGTATTCTATCGAGAATGTCTATCAGTGTGCTCACGCAAGCCGAGTCGGAGGTGGATTTTGTCCAAGGGGCGAATTGTTCCACGTACAACGCTGCTTTGGAACAATGAATTGGTTCCACGGAGAGGGAGAATTTCTCCGCAAAAGCCTCAGCTGCGTCGAACTGCCTTCTACTTAATAATCTCGCTAAACGCATCTCGGGGATGCTCTCCGATATGATTTTCACTCTGAACGTGTCGACGACTCCGCTTTCGGCCGCAACGCCTTCTATGTAGGATATGTTGCTAGAGTTGTGCAAGTTCTCGAATAAATAAGCAGCGGTGGGAACGTTGATCTCTAATTTCTGCTCGAAGTCTGAAAGGAAAAGTACGAGCTAGATATCGCGTATCTGCACGAGAAGCAGGAGGAAAATTATTGCCTCTCTACAAGGCATTATTGCGTACGTGAAAATAATTTTCTTCACCTGGATAAGAAACGAGGCATAATTTGTACGTGTTGTCATTGCTTTCGGATCGTGTCAAGAATAAAATCTCACAAGAATAATTAACATTATCGTTCTGTACTATGGTAAAGTCGAACACTGGGCCATCGTACAATTTCAAGCCGAGTAACGTATCCGGACACACAACACTCAATACGTGGTCTGTACGCAGACAAAGCATCTTACTGCAACAAAGTATGTTATTACAAAGTATGTTATATATATTTTTACATCTTACCAAAACATATAAAATATAAGTGATGAATTCAGTTATTTTCAACTTAGTGCACGCGCTCGGAGATCCAATTACTTACCCGCTACTATTCAGTTGTTTTATTTTTTTATATCCGAAGGAAAATACAGCGCCAAAGTTGTTGCATTGCTCACTGGGCCAAGTGAATATTGAATTTGCTCCAACCACAGTTATCGATAGTTCTTCCGATGACGCGTCCGCTGTAGCACTGAGGAACTGTAAAAAGGTCTTCGTGAAATAATGCAAGGAATGGAAAAGATGCGTCTCATATATGTGTAATCTTATTTTCAGCTTGGATCAGGTGTTTCCCTTTTTTTATTAACATTTTTATCAAACAAATTTGCTAAGGAAACTCTTACTACCTCCAGACATGCAAATCCTGGAAACAGCTGAGAGCACTGTATGTCCATTGCGTATTCTGCAACTTGATTAATATCGGGAGATGCATTCTCCACATCTTTACAAGAATACTTAAAAGGGCATCTGAAATGTTTAAATAGTTGCAAATAAAACCGAACTGTGGCAGTGTATAATATAAATGAATGTCTATGTATTCAATACTTGTAAATAGCTCCAGTGTTTGAGACAAGTATCACAAATGTTTCTTCCTCTTGCTTTTTGAAGGAAATATCGATTATATTATCAGGAACATTAGCCTGATTATCAGGTATAGGTCTGTAAGCAGAATTTATTAATAGCAAAAATTGTACAGAGAGAAAGGGTTGATGCACTTTTTAAATTGTCGTTACTTCGAACGATGTTTGACATTGTTGAATACTCACATCATAGAGAGTAATTTCTTCTCGTATATGTGAAAACAGCACAAAGTTCTGCTCGTAAGCATCACAAATAAGAATAAACCATCATTGGATGTGCAGTAGCAAATTATCGGGTGGGGAAAACTGGCGTTAAGAAATACTTTATCGCACGTTTCATCTTGAAAAATTGTAATGGATTTGTCAATCGCAACGAAGAGTTTGGAATGCTGAATAGATGCTGAAACATTTGGTTTCTGGTCCACCTTACGAAAAAGATACAATCATCAATCTTAATAATACAAGAACATTTTTCTAATTATATTTTATTATATACTTTATATAATCATAAGCATAAAAAGAAGATTCTACATTATTGTCATACATATCAGATAAACAAAGATCATTTTATGAGAAAGTGCCATTTTTTTTCACTCGTGTTCGTAGCGAATTTCAAGAAAGAACGCAAATATCAGGAGATTTCTATCCGAATAAGAACAATTTACATAGTAATGAACAAAACACGCGTAAACCGTTAAATCCGTGAGTCAAATTCAAAGCGCGCGCCATGACACCACAGGTCGGCGCGTGCGCGTCTCAGGAAAATTTAAATACCGCAAAAAGATTATACAGTATCGCGAAAAACAACGCAAATGTGCGAAAAGACTTCTTGAATTCCTGCTGTAAGATCATCGTCGATCTTTTCCTCCCCTCGCTTTCAATTGACAATCGTATCGCGTCCCGTCAGCCGGGATTGTTGAAGTCGTCGTGTAACCGTCAAACAGAACCGAAAGTACCTGCTCTCGGGACTGAATAGTCGCCATGGTGCACGTCTCGTACAGCGAGCCATTGTTTTCCGCGATTATTCGCGTACCGAAATTGACGGTCTCGTCATCGAGGTTGAAGCCCGACAACACACGATCCCACAAAGCCATCTTCAAGGATCGACCGAGCTCACTCCAGGATTACGCTCGATCAAGCGCCAAGGCTGAAGCAAGTGTTTCCCACATCAGAGAGAAACCTGAGAGCGGCCACGCCGGCGTTTTCCTCGATTCTGTTTTGCGCGGCTGTTCGATACGCCCTCTGCACCCACTTTTGGACGTCGGAACTATCTCGCTTCATCCATCATTGCTAGTTGAAAGGTTGTCAAACTGCGAAGTTGTATTTTGTAATCGCAGGAATTGAACGTTCCCTTTGTCGCATTTAATTATATTGTCTCATCAATTATTAAGCAACTATGAGCGACTCGACGTTTCTCGATATCGATGAATCTATCCAAACAAGAAACTTGTTGATACTGGTAAATAATTAAGCGTAAAGTGATAAATATATGTATGCATAATAGTTAAATTAAAAGAATGTTTGATATTTCCAAACAGAACGAGGAAAGGGATGGTGTAGATCATCAAATAGGTGAACTGATGAAACAATACGAGCCAGCTTTGGTGTCCGTTATACAGCCTGTTCCCGGTTTGTGCGACTTTTCAGATATTGCGCTACAAACATCATTCTGTAATTGTAATAATTATAAATATAATGATTATGTAGGTATCTGTGTAAAGATCAAATCGACCAGTGAAGGGAAGGTTTTTATAAACATATGTATGTCAGACGAGATCCCAGCTCCGCAGGATATATCTGATGATAAATTGTTCCAAGTTTTGGATGATCATGATTCTACTTATAGTTTACCGATGAGTATCGGCGCCGAGAGAGTAGAGAAAGACAAATGTAATGAAAATACGGGGAACTGTGTGATCTGAACAAATGTTCTTGTGAGATTTATTCTTTTTACTCTTACAGCCGGTGTACCTTGCCCAACATTTGATGTCGTGATAAATACAGCTTACTTAACAAAATGCCAACAAAAGCCGCATTTTATGGCGTTTACAATATTATCTGTATTAAACGGCGTGATGGAGAAGTCCGGGAAAGAACTCGACATGGAGAATTATACTATCCTCAAAAATCGAACGGTGAGCATATGTAAAGTCTAAAGCCGGGACATATAAGACGCTCCTTGTCCTGATTTTAAACGTTGTGTTATCTGAATAGGAATTAATCTGGAATTTTGCTTATTGACTTCGAATGATACTTCAGGTAGTAGGCAAACTACAGCAACAAAGGATACGAGTTCGAGAGCGGAAGATACCGCAACGTTGCGAACCGTTAATCGAGGAGATCCCGAAGTCTAAGAAATCCGCAAGTAGGAAAGTATGTTTACAGGAGAGCGATAAAGCGGAGAGGGAGGTGGATTATGTAATTTTAAGACAGCCACCGGAGGGACCAGTTGAACGTTTAATCGCTTTATTTAACATGCCGAGAAACGTGAGTCATAAAGTCCAACTAGCTCGATGATCAATGACACTCAGTCGTATGAGATAAGATAAAAATTTTGATATGCCTTATCAATCGCAGGTGTCGATCGAGAACGTGGTGGTACTCATCAACCCCGACCGCATAAACGTTACAGATGAGAAAACTTGTTGTTCACACGATGTTTTACTTCCATACAATATAAAGACTGACAGTGCAAAGGCCTATTTGGACTACAGTCTTAAGGTAAGAAGAAGAGTCTTTCCTTCCTAGTGCCATTTCCTAACGTTTTTATACATTTCAGGTGTTACGAATAGATATATTAGCGCGATAAGGGAGACGCAGTCACTCCGACGGAGACGGGATTGTACCTTGAGCGCGTTTTCCCCTCTCACAACACTAGAACAAATTTTTACTTTCGAGTGCTATCGTTAATTTTTTAATGATAATTTTTTAAGGTACACGCGCTACCTTGCTGAGACAGTTTTCGCACTAGCGTGCGAAATGATCGGTCAGTTGTATTACATTGGACTCGAGATGATCGATTACAACAAGTTCGAGACCGCGACGCAAACACAAACGAGATATATAAAATTTATTTCATAGAGCAAAATACAAATCGGACAACAAGTTGTACGTTAAGTTTCTCACATCTCTGTGTAGAAAGTCGGCCGTTCGATACCCAACATACCGAACACATTTGGCAGCAGATACACTGTATTTACACCTATCATGAAGCAACACGCATATTTGTAGACTAGGTCGACGAAAACCTTGTTCGGATTTCCACTGTAGTCTTGGGACTTCATCAGCTCCTTCGAGTTAATTCGCAGTATGGCACACATTGTGGCGTAGCTGAAGGATTTGCAGATGGCTTTCGTAGCGATTACGCAGCAAAAGCCGAGTATAGTTCGGAAGATTAGGCGGCCGAGCATGGGATACGTCGGCCAAATGATGTGATATGGCGGTGAGAACAATGGTTTGCTCAGCACACCGGTGTAGTGATTCAGCCACGTCCCGGTGTGAACACCCGCTGTCACCGACACCACCATCGTGGTGTCGCCTCTGGAATAAATTGAGGAATTCAACGGACGGATCAGACTCGCAGAATTGAGTCGCATGGGCGCATGACATTCCATACTTATATGCAAATAAAAACCCGAGTTCCGAACTGATGCATCTCGATATATCTTTGTGTTTTCAAGAGTAAATTATACGTTACTGTCATTTAGAGAGACGGGACTCGCGGGTCTTCGAGAACGGATTTTAAAGCGCCACTGAATATTAATGTTCAACAACGCTATAAAAATCCACGCTCTATCTCCGAAATTCTGCCTTCGGTCAGACCAAGCTGGAACGATTTCGTCGCGATTTGTGTTATCGGTCCCTTCAAAAATCAATCTGTGGCAGTCTGAGAAGGAAGGAAGGGCTGTTCCATCGATCCGTGCTCACCTGGTGGGTGTCCACTTGTCGCTGCACGGGTAGTACACGATAGCGGCGATGCTGACGGCGATTAATATTGTCAGAAAGCAGAAATTCGTGACGACGTAAGGGTCCATCGTGTCCACCAGAGGTACCAACGGGATCATTAAAACGATCGCCAGTATCACGCCCACCACGATATCCAGCACGGTATGCATGCCCAGGTAGAGTCTGCTGGTGCTCACGAGCGCACACCTGGGGAACCAGGTGCGAATTGCGAGGTCATACAGGTTGGTACAGGCAGCGAGCCAGGCGCGCAGCATGCGGGCGATGCACGGTTCTCACTCACCAGAGAAAAGCGACGACGCAACCGATGCGAACCGGATAAATATACCTATTCATTGTGAATAATACTACGCTAAATGGAATGGAGACGCCGATCATGGCGTGAGTAGACGGCATCCCGTATTCCTGCGACCATTTGTTCTGCAACCTGGCCGCCGGTGGGCACGTCGGCCTGGGCCAACGGATCACATCTTTCAGTGCTTGTCCTGGAAACAACCTAGTGCAAGCTCAAGAATGTAAAGAGCGTTGAAAATACCTCTCAGAAAGACGTGTCGGATTCGACTAAGAGTGTAAACAGAGACAGAAGACTCGAGACCGAGCGATCTCGGTTCGTTGCCGAGGTAACCATCGAAGGATTCATCTAGATGGCTCGAAATAGCTATATGATCATGTATTAGCGAGGATCGAGGAATGTCTCCTCCAAGTCTGGGCTCGATCGTCCTTCTGATGGGTACTTTCAATGACCAATTATTAGTGCATCACACCCTGATAAAATCCACCTTTCATAATCTTCTGCCTTACCGATGGTCATAACAGTGGCCCATACCAGGACCACTCGTCGGCCGACGGCTCCGTCGATGTTCCAGAACCAGAAGGGTATGAAAGCCGAGTAGAAGATCTCATCTCCCAGCTCGGTGCCGAATAAGAACAGATAGTACCAGAATGGATTGTTGATTGTGTAATGCGGACTTTTCTCCGCCGCAGCTTCTTCCCTGTGTTTGTCCGATGACTCATCTTCCGTTTGCGTTATGTATCCATTGAACTCTTCTTTGCTATTGGTGTCACAGCCATTTGTCTTTCGATTGCGGCAAGTCAGCAGATGATTCCCTTCGTTATGATCGACCTCTGTGCATATGCACTTGTCCTCGTCCGAGCTGCTTCGCGGCTCCTCCCCGTCGGACGTTCCGCCGTAATGTTTCTCGTAATAATGTATACTGACGCCGAAGAATCGTTGTATATCCGCGACCAATTGGGAGTCCTTCAGGTAGTCGATCACTTCCGACCCGATCATCCTCGTCGCGAGTACTAACACCGCTTCCTCATGTCTGCAAGTAAGCGCGATCAGAGCGATTGATCAGAACTCGGAGCGCGACGGACACACGCTTTCTCTCTCTCTCTCTTTCTCGAGAGAGAGAGCGCGATACCGACGATAATTAAGAGACATCGCAATTATTCGGCAATATTCGGATCATTATTACGCGGTATCGAGGCGATTAATCCGATAAACGGCGACTTACCGAAGACACACCGCTGTTGCCACTCTCCCTCTCTCCTTCTCTTTCTCTTCTGATATCACCACCGATGAAATCAAACGGACGAAACGGAGAGCGGTAACAATTAACCCGATATTACGGATCCGTCCACGGCCGATCTCGCGGCCAGGAAAAATCGGGCGCGATTCGCGCGCGGCGAGCGATTTTGAAGCGCGCTGCGCTGCACGTTACTGCTGCGCGTCACCGAGCATCGTCACGCGGTTCGTTCGTTCGTTCCGACGCGATCCGCGGCGGCAGTGAATCCTCGTCTGTTTATCGTACGCGGCATGAATAGCGGCCGACACCACCGCGAGCGGAGCGAATACTCCCGGCTCGCCGCGGTCGGCTGCGCGTGTGGTGGTTGCGTGTGAATGCGACTCGCGGCGCACCGCGTGTGCGTCATCGCGAAAGACCGCCTGTTATACCGTACTCGACGCCGGGCACGTCGGCTGTAGACCGTCGTTCCCGCGCAGGCCGTAACCGACCGAGGGATCGCGCCGCAGCGCCACTCCTCTCGACCGGTGGGGGGATGAAACCTGTCCGAGATTCTTCCCGGTCGGTATCGCTGTCGAGGTCGATAATGTTTCGGCTCTTCGATCGAGTCGGGTCGTCGTCGATAATCTCGCAAACGATCAATCGGGGTAGTTCAGAATGAAACACCGTTGTTATTAATCAAATATAGCACGTTATCGAGCGCTCTGTGACTTGTTATTATCTAGGGACGTTGTAAATATAGATTTACTCTACTTTTTGAGGGGAAAGTGTTGAGGAGAAAGCCGAAAAGTATTTAAGGAACGAAATAAGCGCATTCAATGTCTCATTGACGGTACCTCGACTTCTTCGAGTCTGCGTATAATATTTTATGTGTGTATTTATTAAATACCCGATTCGCAGATATTCTGAGATGGACATCCGTATTTCGAAATATTCGCTACATCTGTGCGATATTCGGCAAATACTCGTGCACGAACTTCTTGAGAAAATGCCGAGTCGTTGAAGTGAAAGATAAGGGTGGTGATAGCTTCCGAAATGCGGCGAACGTAAGAGCAATGTGTTTTTCTTTCTGAGACGAGACGAGGAACCGGGAGAGAAACTGGGAGCTGCGACTACACGACGAAGAGTAATTTCCCGGAGAAGGCAAACAAACGCGTGGGTTTCGATTAAACGGTATCGTCCGCCGCCCAAAGAAAACAGGAGGAACGGCGCAAGAGCGGCCGGGGTTCGGTCTTCGAATGCGAATAAAGGCATCGGCTTCTGCCGCGGAAGGATTATTTCTCGCGGCATCGAGAGCGCGTCATCACGACTTACCATCCCGTAAAATACAGCGATCAATTTGCGAGTCCTCGCGAAACATGCTTCTTCTTCGCTTCATCGCCTGCGCCGTTCTTCCTGTCGACGGTCTCTCGGCGAATAAATCTAATAGTCGGTATTAAAATGTTGAAACACGAGTTACGAGATAAATTGATCATTAATCATTAAGTTAATCGTGAGCTCGTAGGGGCAAACCTTCCTACGGAATTGATTCTCTTAGAAATACTTAAAACTTAGTTCAGTCGATCAGCGTAATTCGCATTTGCCGTAGCGGTGGACACGTTTGATCACGCAGCAAGGATCTCGCTTGGTCGGATGGACGATTCGCTCGAGTTCCTGAATCGAGCGACCGCCAGTCTCGAATGGCGAACCCTCAGGAACGCTTCGGCCGTTCCATTGGACGTGCACGCGTCCGTCTTTCAACTGAGACTGAAGTGGAGGAATCGTTGGTGCGCGGAACTGATTGACCTTCAGGACAATGGAATGTTCGTGGACAGACGGTTGCGGCGCTTTTTGTGCCGCGGACCGAAGTACACGGGGAAGATGACGAGGTACACGGCGAATAATTACAGAGCTCCGAGTAATTACAGACCTTTTTCGTTATCACGATAAAAAGAGAAAGTCACTGGTGCGATAAGCAAGCGGGTGTCGGCTCGTTAATGCACGATGGCATTATGTACCGCCGACAGGTCCTGTTGTATTCCTGCCGGCAAGCCAGACGATCAAATTTTACGGCCGACACCGCGCAAAATCTGCTTCCGCAGGCTTGGCTATCTGGCTATATTTATCCGTGACTAGAAAGACATTAATTGATCGATTAATTTCACCAATGCAGGGAGATCGCCGTCGTCAAGGAATCGCTGTCTTCTACGTACGATTCTGCGCGGATTTGCAAAAGCGAGGGTCAGCAACGAGGATGTTACCAAGGCGAGTCAGAGGTGGCGAAGTTAATGGCGACTTCGAGGTGACCCAATGTTGCGATTCATTTATATCGTCGAGCAAGAAACACGACGTATCTCAAACGCGTATATATTTGAATTGAATTTAGAAACGAGAGGGAATTACGTTGGGCTTGGTCCGCTTGGAGAGACCGTATGAGCGGGATGAGGTGGCCGTTTGCACAGTTGGTCGCCCTTGAAAATGCAGCTGCGCGAAGTAACGGTAATACATATATATATAAAATTCATTACGAGTTCTATAATAGCTCCACACATGTGTCAAAATTAATGATACCGACTTGTGTATATTGAATTTTACGTTTAATAACAATCAGATGTTATTTCATGCAAGGCTACGCGGATGTCGGAGCGTACTGGAGGGAAGAGTTTGAAATTCCGAACTTGGAGAACGTCTTCGAGGAGATGTACCGACGTGTCGAGCCCCTGTACCGCCTCCTTCACGCCGTCGTGAGGTCTCGACTCGCGAAATTGTATCCCGATGTCGTCGACACGTCCCAACCGATTCCTGCTCATCTGTTGGGTAAGATTCCCGGTAACGACTTAGGAGTAGCGCAAGATGTCCCCGAATCGTCCAACGTATTCTGGAACATTCCGAGCACATCCGACAGGATTCGACAGGATGGAGCCTCGGAACGTTCTGTGTTATCCGAGGATAAAAGTAGCGAGAGAAATTCCCTTTTCCTCGGGACACACGCACACAACGGTTTCGGAAAGAAAACGCGCTCACTGTTCTCGCAGGCAACCTGTGGTCGCAGAGTTGGGAGACGTTAATCGACGTGGTGTTTCCGAACTACGCAGCGATCGTGCCGGATCTGGCGGACTCGATGAGGCGGGACAATTACAGCGTGACGAGGATGGTGAGAGAAGCGGAGGATTTCTACGTCTCCCTTGGATTTCCGCCCTTGACGCCGGAGTTCTGGCGGAACTCGGTCCTCGAACGGGAACCTGGTGAAACTACCAGCTGCCACGCGACTGCTGTTAACATGTTTAAGAGAAACGACGTTAGGTATCTACTCGAGACCGGCGCTTCGAGCTTGACCGACCGGACTGATCTCGCGTTCTCGTTTTCAGGATCTTCGCGTGCCTCGAGGCGAGACCGCAAGATATCAACGTTATCCATCACGAGTTAGGCCACATACAATACTACATGGCGTACCAGAACCAGCCGTCGTTTTTCAAGGTCCTTCGAGTTCCTTCGAATAAATCGGAATCAAGTAGTTTAACACGTCGTCACTGCCACGTAGTTTTTCGAAGAAAAAAAAAACCCCACCGTGACGCCAAGTTGGTTCTTCTTCTCGCGTAAATAGTTCCTCACGCTGAGGCTGCGTTCCAATATTCACTGCTGGTACTGAAAATCTGCAGTACACGTAAGTACACTTGTAGTGTACATGAACTATAGATTTTCAGCGCAGTGGCGGTGAGTTTTGGAGCCTCAGCCTAACGCTCTCTCGCTTTCTCCGGGAAACGAATTCATGAAGGAGGCGACGCTAACTCGGAAGGTAAGGAATTGAGGTCGCTCTTCCCTTCAGAACGGCGTGAATAGCGCCTTCCACGAGGCGATAGGCGACGCGATCTCCCACGGGGCGACTTCCGCCCGGCACATGCGGCGTCTAGGCTTGATGCGCGGGGCGTCGCCGAACTCGTTGGGGGAAACGGCGATCCTGGTGAGGCGGGCTTTGCTGAAGATACCGCAGCTGTTGAGCGGCCTGGTGATTGAGAAATGGAGGTGGTCGGTGTTCTCCGGGAGAACGAGACCCTCGAGCTACAATCGGGCGTGGTGGGAGCTGCACCGTCGCTACATGGGCGTCGCGCCGCCGTCGCCGAGGACCGAGCAGTTCTTCGACGCCGCCGCCAAGTACCACGTTGCCCACGGTATACCTTACGCCAGGTGAGCAGCTCGAGTCGACGAGTGAAGTCGGAGAAACGAGAGACGATAGAAAGACAACGAGAATCGCTCCGTCATTCGCAGGTATTACCTGGCGAGCTTCCTGCAAGTGCAACTGTTCGGAGGGATGTGCGAGGCGACCGGCTCCACGACGTCCAACGCGAGCCTCCACGAGTGCGACATTTACGGATCGAAGGACGCGGGAAGGATCTTGAGGTAGGACAGATGTGTGTCTTATCTCATCTGCAAAATGTCTCGTACAAAACTGACAGCTTTAATTATACTTCTCAAGGTGTGGCTCGGAGTGGTAAAAAAAAATATAATTCTAAAAAAGTACGGGGGAGTCGTTCATCAAGCGCGCACGCGCACGCGCTGAAGTAGCAGTAACAGCAGTAGTACGCTCGTTTCTCGTCTTTAAGGTCGGTGATGAAACTCGGGAGCAGCGTGGACTGGAGGCGCGCGTTGCGCTTTACCACGGGCCGGGCTGAGTATCGCGCGGAGCCGCTTCTGGCTTACTACGAGCCGGTTCGCGAGTGGCTGCAGCTCGAGATCAAGCGTCGTGGGATCCCGATGGGCTGGAACTGAGGCGGGCATCCTGCGGAGAGCATGTCTTTCCAAGCGGAATCGTCGCTAATATTCGTCGCGACTTGCGACCCCGTCGCACTCAATTCGTCGTACTCAGTTGTTGTTGCGAGCCCAAGCCTTCGTTCGTGAAGATGTCGAACTCCTCCCGACTGACGAGGACACTGCGGACGTCGTCCGGTGTGATGATCGTCGGACACCTGCGACAAATCGGGAGAACGACGCTTGTGTAATGATGTGGCGGAAATATAGCGATGTGTGTGTGTGTGTGTGTGTGAGAGAGAAAATTGTAATTACCCCTTATCTCCGTCTCTCTCCCAAGCTCTCGCCAACGACGACCGGATCAGGTCCTCCACGAAACACTCGATGACCTAGAAAAGCACGAGACGACTTCTACAATAATGATTCCACTCGCGAACGATGAGCACGTTGATTCATACAACTGATATTTTACTTTCAGATATTAACCCCCAACTTGAGATTTTGTCTTGCGAATTAAAAGTATATTCACACCTTCGGGTATTTTTTTAAATCCAAACTTAAAACTTATTAATTTAAGATCCCCCACTTGTAGATATTTAATCCAAATTTAAGGAGATATTTGTTTTATTAATTTGAAATTGATTACTTTCAGGTATTTAATCTGAATTCAAGATTCGCTTTATTGTAGAGAGGAAAAAATATGGAAACCCAGAAAAATCTCGAAAAATATAAGTTTTGCGGAAAAGTGTCTCGGATAAAAGTTGCGGAGTTTAAAAAGATCTATTTACTGATCTTATCAGTTTGACTTTGGTTAGCGTCGCCAAGATCAGGATAAGGTCAAGTTGAATTTTTTAAATATGACCCTCTACTTTTTATCGCACATTCTTATAGCCCTTGTTGAGACGTTTTAGAACACTGTGATAAAGCTTCATTTGGTTAAGAATTCCCCGAGATATTTAAAACTTTGTCACTGTACTTTTTAATGTAAAACACGAAATATCTCGTAAAGGAAGAGAATCCGGCCCGAGAATCGAAGGCCGTGAAAACGAAGGATTTTGAGTAGCCGTGAAACAACTGATCTTAAGTAGCTCTCCGATTATCGGAATATTTACATTGTTCGTTTTACTTTGAACCCTCCTCCGGTCTTGCCTTATTCATTTACCACTTATCCCCGTCGAATAAAAAATGTCCATTATTCAAGACACATCGCTTCATCGGGCACCGGATTCCCGTACTCGAGACAAAGCATGAAAACGATCATCACCCTCATTATCGCTCGGCCGGCCGCGCAGCACACGATACCCGGGACGATCTCCTCCGGCGCGATCTTGATGCCGATCTCTTGCGCGGTGTCGCACACGAACTTGTGTAACGGCACTAGCCTCTCGTCGAGCTCGAGCGGCGTCAACGTGGCAGAAGACGCGACGGTGGTATCGTCGTCTTGGCGTTTCCCCCGGTCGACCGGGCCTCGACACGGGCTCTCGTCGACGGTCTCGACGTCTATCTCGTCGGCGCAGTCACTCGTCGAGCGACGATGACTAGACTCTTGCCGGCAGGTCTGTAGCCACCTGTGGAACTCAAGCGGCTTCGTATAAGTGGATACGGGGGTGCCGGAGGCCCCCGAAGGATCAGGCAGTCTCTTGGTGTCGGTGCTCATCGCGTCCAGGTCCTCCGACACTCCTCGGACACTCTTGCGACTCGGCGTGTAGCCGTGCAACCTCGCCCACACCAGGATCTCCTTGACACTCCACAGCCGGTCGTCCTGGCGCAGCTTCCTGCTTAGATAGCCCCTGATCGTAATCGCGCGATGCCACTCCAGGGCCCGCTGCTTGCCGACGCTGAACGCGAGGAAGTCCTCCTCGCAGTAGCACGCGTAGGGATGCAGCCGCCTGTACTCGGGGTCGCAAGCCTCTCGGGTGACGATCGGCAGCCTGCGGATGGCGAATCGCACGAGCGCTTCCGTGTCGGCGATGTCCGCACGGTCGATCGACCGGAGGATCGCCTCGTACCGCTCCGTCTTACTCTGGAGCCTGTGCTTGTCCTTGCCCAGCGTGATCTTCCTCCGCATCGTCTTCTCGTCCTTGCCCGTCGCCGAGCTCGCGCTTTCCCCGCCGCTGATCGACGACGAGACGGGGATACCCCTCGCGGCGTCGGACAGGCTGTAATTGTACCGGGGGTCGCGCCAGTCCGCGATCTTCAGCGCCGGCTCGGAGTAGTTGGCGTTCAGCAGCAGGCTGTTGGCGCCTCTCAGCGTGAGCGTGGCGGCCTCCTTGGCGACGACCGGCTTCCTCAGGACGCTCACGGGAGGACGCTGAGGGATCGCGGCAGGTGCCTTCGCGTCGCCGTTGTCGAGCGTCCCCCTCGCCACGTCCACCGGGATCAGCTTCTTGTCCTTCACGAGGAGTATCCGCTTGCTGGCCGACGACGGCTGGAACAACGGTGGTATCGAGATCTCCAAGGGCTTCAGATGCGAATTGTCGGCGGCTCTCTGCAGACTCCACAGGCGGTTGAACATGCTGGACGGTTTGCAGTAGCCGTTGCTCGTAGTCGTGTCTTTGTTCCCCGAAACTTCGGATGGAGCCTCGTCGTTCGTCGCTCTCGGGGACTCGCTTGGGTCGAGCGAGTTCTTCCTCGGGTCGTCCCTCCGGAATGCCGTGGGCCCCGCCGGCACCCGGGGCGCCAGTGATTCATCCTCTGTGTTCCTCGCGAGCGTCGACGACGGAAGAAGCTCGCTGGAAGGCTGGATATCACCGTTGCACTTGTGCGACGCGATCGCCGCGTCGTCGGGCTTCCCTTCGACCGCCGCCGATGAGCCAGTCCCAACAGCGGCGTTGTTCGAAAAGTGCTTCGTCGTCACGTGACCGTCCCTGACGATGCGATAAGGCTTGCAATAGTGCTCCTTCGTGTAACAGTGGTCGTGGTCGATGTGAAAATGTGAAATGTCTACGTCCTCCGAATGCGATTCGTCAGTGCTAAGGGGGAAAGGCAGGCCCGCTCGTTCGGCTGCTCTCGCTCGGATATCCGATGTAAATATCTCGGCGAGCGCCGTGCCTGCTGGCGGCTCGCGTATCCCCGGTTCGATCGGTTCCTTCTTCGGTCGAATCTCCTCGGCGAGTGGCGATCCCGCGCGGCCGCACTCCCCGTCGTCGTCGCTCGGCGATTCCACCTTGACGCGCACGTCATCCCCGGACGCCGTGATGGATGGCTCGTTCTTCTCGCGGGAGAGATCGCTCGTGTAGATCCACATGTCGACGAGAGTCTCCGAGCCCAGGGTCTGCAGGCCGGTGCAAGTGCGGTCGAGCTTCAGGTGGTGGATGATGTCCATCGGCTTGTTCAACACGTTCGTGAAGTGCAGCTGCACCCGGAGCGGGAACTCGCCCCAGCCACGTCGGGATAGGTGGAAGGGGTGCGAGGTAACCTCGACGACGTCGTGCGGCCGGTAGCTCGGGTGTAGGAAGAATCTCACCTTGCTGACGTAGGTGCCGATGTCGGCGTCCTCCTTGTCGCCGCGCACGTACATGGTCCACTTGTGACTGGCATCGCTGCCGTCCCGCCAGTCGGGCGGGATCCACTTGGAAATGTTGCCGACGATTACGCGCTTGTACACTTTGTGCCTGTCGCCGCGGGACGGCCGTGCATTGCACTCCGGCACGCTGCTCTTCGGCGGCACGTGCCGCGGCAGCTTGCGCGGCTGTCGCTCCTCGTCCGCCGATAGTTTCCGCTTCTTGTTCGACGGGCGGTTGTCATCCGCTTCGACATTTTCCTTGTTCGCTGGGCTCTTCCCTTCCGACACGAGCGGTTCCTCGTCGATCGGCAGAAAGCGAGGATCCGTGGAGGTAGATGGCACCGCTGGCTCTGTACAGTTCAAGATTTTAGGACTCTTGCCGAGCAACGACTTCACCGCGGGGTGAATTCTCGTTTGCTTGCTTGCCTCAGCAGCCTGCGGCAGCTCGCATTGCTTGCGGTTGTAGTAGTCGGTAATAATGACGTAGCGCAGGAAATGCAGGGTCCTCAGGGATTTGTTCAGCCTCTCCTGTATCTGCAGGATCTCCTTCTGTTTCTGATTGATGTCCTGCGAGAATTCCTTCTCTATTATCGCAGTTATCTTCTTCGCGGTGCTGTTCCTCGCTGGAATGCAAAAGCGATGATGACGCGACGGAAGGAGGCAATACGAATGATTCAATCAATCGTGACGAATCAATGTTTAAAGATATGAACTAATAATCTGTCATAATATATGTAAATGTTTTCAGTGATGTAAGATTTTACATATCACTACCGTTACGTGAAAAATTCACACGTCCTTTCTCGACAGTTCCAAAATTTACCCTTTGATCGTTCATGTTTATCAATCTATAGGAAATTATCGTTAAGCGGTAACAATGCGCTTTATATTTCCATTAACTTACCATTTTCTTCGTAGATCTTTTGTTGCGCCTGGTTACTGGAGGCTGCAGAAACGTAATCAGGATCCTGATCGTTCAGTGATTCTTCAAAAGTACTCATTTATCGCGTTTGATTTGTTGATAAAGTGAATATGAGTCATTCGAACACACGTGGCACTCGTGGCACAATATTCAAAAACATGTAACAATACGCGAATACGGCAAACAACACTCCCATACGTACTCATATGCACTCCGATTTCTTTGACAAATACCGTAAAAAAGCACAAGGAATTCCACTCGGACAGAGGTTATACTCACTGTTGTATCGCCCGTTCTACATCTTCGAAAACGGAAAGCGACCGTCACTTTTGAACGACAAATTCTTTCTAATCAACAGAACACCAGTACTCATCGCCAGAGACCGGCTGATCTGCGAATTTAGTAAAACATCGAGACAAACCTCGATAAAATCGCTATAGCCCGACTGCAGCTGGAAAACAAGCATCGCACGCTTTGCCATATTGGACACCGCTTGAGATCCGTTAGAACGATGGTTTTCAACGGACCGCCTGACGTCATCTAAGTCCGGATTTACAATAGGCGTGATAAGCTTTAAGCCCGTATCAGACTACGGATTGAGATGAAAAATTACTACCGTTCAAATTTTCCTACAATCACTTGTCAAAAACTACCAGACTTAGTAGGATTCCCGCTAAGTTGGCGACACTGCTAACAAGTATATAGGACGACAGTGGATTTAGAACGCGCCTTTACCTTCGAATAGTGGCACAGCTCAACGACAGGATGGCTTGTCGTTCGTCAACATAAATACAACATCGGCAGTTACAATACGACGTGATCATTTTCCGGACGGGGAATATGTTACATACATAGAATATGTTACTCCATTTAATGAATATTTCCGGTGAGTAGCACAATTAGTCGAGGGCTTCGGTTGAGTAATTTTTCAAGGTTAGAGAAGTTCGAGGTTTCTCTCTCGCACCGTGACACTTGACGTTCCTCAACGCGTCTCAACTGCGATATTCGAACCCGTGCGAAGATGTCGGCGCACGTTATGTGCTTGACATCTTCCGGAGGAATTCCTCTGTTTACGCGTCACAATGGAGACAGCGATACGGTACGTGTGTTCAAGGATAATTTAATTATATTCCATAAACATTGCATCCTGTTCCGTCCCCAAACATTACATACCCGTATTCTTCCTTTATCTCGATTTTTTTTCTTTTATAAGGTGTTACTAAGATTTTTTTTTTATATAATGTTACGATCGATAATGGTGTTTGCAGATGACGTTTTCGAAAATAGCATCCCTCAACGGAGTCCACATGTTCTTGAAGTCGCAGGATATCACTCTGTTGAGCACCGATCTGCCGGACACGACTGTGGTGTGGAAGGAATTTGAGGACTGCATCATACTGATAGTAATCGCCAGCGGAGTGACCAAGTATGTATTGGACAAATTTCTGGACGCCACTTTCGGCGCGATGGTCCTCTTCACTGGTATCGACGAGATAAGGAACACCAAGAACATAGAGAGGCTCAAGAAGGACATGCGTCTCTGTGGTCCCATCATAGACAGACTGATGGACTGCCTGGACATAGGAGATAAGATCTCCGCGAAAACCGACATGGTCAATATGACAGAGTGCATCATATCTCCCGAGAATCATTTGCTTCAGGTAGCTGAATTTCTCACCGGATAAACTTGGCACCAGGCGAGCTTCTCGAAAGCCATGCTGATCTTCGTTTTATCATCACATCGCAGAATCATCGTCACGGAATGCACGATTGGGGTTTAACCTTCCGACAAAATTGGAAAAATTTCCAGAGCTGAGTTGATCAATGTGGCTTTTGAGAGGCTCAAGTTGTCGATATGTGTGTGTATTAACACATATGTATCCAAGACTTCTTTAGAAGGATTCATGGAATGCCTGGACTCGGTGTACGGGTGCATTCTGGTGCACGGCTGTGTGGCAGTCGCTACGGAAGGCTGGTGGTCGCTGGATCCTGTGGAAAGGAAATTGTTGACAATAGCGGTTACCACCGAAAGTATCTGCACCACCCGCGACGTTCCAGTGTTCCTGCCTCGTAAGAGTCCGAATGTAAGGAACAGACGCTTGAGTTTGATTAAGAAACGGAACGATGATAAATTCAACCGCAGATTTACGATGTCCCGCTTTCAGGTGGCGTTCAGACTGGTGTCTATATCTCTGATTAACCACGTGGACGTCCTGGCGTTGTGCGGCCCGAATCCGGAACTGACGGAAATCGAGAGATTCGCCGTGCAATGCTGGAAAGGCAATATCGATGCGCTGTGCGCATCTGAACAGTGTTATCCTCGGAACTTACCCGCTTCGATATCCTTGGACGGTGAAACGCTCGGGTAAACTTGTTATTTCGCATAATTCATATATTGCCCACACATCCTCCCTCCGTCCCTAATATAAATTTGCCATCCAGTAAACACCAACTAACAGTAACGTTATCATATTATAATTTCATTCAATAATGTGAATATATCGTATATCGCATATAACAGTTACATTGTTGAGTAAGAAATCATAACATTAATATCATTATTAAAGCAAGTCAGGTGCCATTAAACTAACGATGAAATATTGTTGAACTAAGTGTGACTTTCATCGAACTCTGACCAATCGGCAATTTAACATCGTTGCCAATGAAAAATATCGTTCCGTCTTGCCGACGCGGGTAGAAATTATCAACTTGTCGATTATCATTAAATGACAAGTTACAAAACTGGAAATCAGTGGCGATTCTTACTCATCGATTATCATTTAATCTGACGAAGTCGCTTTAACCGTGAGGTGCCGTTAAACTGACTGAACTAACGTCAGTTGACCGTTCACCGAGTATCCCACATCGTCCTGCTGCGAACATTTCAGATTTCTGCTGGCGAATTACAAGGTGGAGAAGTTCGTGCTCGGCAGGAACTCGCAGTGCGCGAAGAATCGCGTGACCGGCTCTCACAGGCTGGACATCCTGCGTACGTTTTATCACCAGGCGGTCGAGACGTTCGCGCTGTCGGCCGAACGCGACGACGGCGAAGGTGCGACCGCGTGGAGGTTCAGCGGAGCGAAGGAGACGTATCTGTGCTCCGAGTATCACAAGTGTCACGCTGTCAAGCACGGTGAGCACGTGCTCTGCGTCCTGTACACGTCGGCCGTGCCGACTCACACCATGAGGCTGATCAGTCAGAAAATACTCAAGACGGTGTTTAACGATAAGCAAGCGTATTGGTAGGCCCCTGCTTTCTTCCTTCCACCCGTCTCGCATCTGTAATATACGAAATAAAACTATACTTCGTACGAATTTCAACATATATTCTCGGAAATCTCGCCGCCGTTAGAACATTCGTTGCGGAGAAACGGTAACACACACCAAGCGCCACCTAGATTTACCTTCCTAAAGTACCCTTTAGGACTCGATAACGGGGAAGAAGAGAGGAAAACGGAGTGCGGAAGGTGCGGCTGAGAAGAACAGACAACTCTGTCGTCCGCTGCTTCTCGGCACTTTCATATCCTGCGTATGCGACTGAAATGAAGCGAATCAATCGACACTTTAAGGAGAGAGACGGAGAGAAGGAACTTTGTGAGCATAGGAGATCATAAGAATTGATACTAATGATTCGAGCTGCGGGAGTTCGTATCTTCCAGCTGCGCTTTCCCATCGCGGACAGGCGCGGCTGGAACGAGCGCTTCTTCAATCATGAATGCCGAGCAGACGCGTCTGTTCAGCTCGGAGCCGCCGACGGGAAGAATCGTAGAAGACGGAGGCCCGAGAGACGGCCTCTCCTATAACGCCGCCCGCGCTGCTCGATGCTGTGGCGGCGAAAAAATCGATAGTGGAAGCGCCACGCCGGCGCACGCGCGTCGAGCGTTACTGATGCGTGTCAGCTGTCCCGGTCGTAACTAAAACGGGAATACACAGGTGTTCCTCGGCTCCTTCGCGGACAGAGAGAAGTCTTCCAATGCGGAGCTGCGGTCCCGAGCGAACTTAATGGCTTGCGACAATCGCGCGAAGGTGTATCTCGGATACGAGGACGAGTACGTCACCGAGAAGCACCGTGCCTCGCTCAGCTTCCAGACGAACAAGATCGGCGGACATCCGGTGAGCAAAGAGCCGAGAGAGCGGAGCGAGCTCACTTTGTTTTCGCGGAAGATACCCACCCCCCTTCGTACTTGAGTGGTGGAGATTCTCTCGATCGGTTTCTCGTTCCGAGACAGAGAGAGAGAAAGGCGACGACGACCTGTCAAACGTCGCGCTGGACGATGTGACAAAAAGCGAGATATTTACAAACAAGTGACACATATAGAGCGCTCTCTTTGTTACCACTGCAGAGAATATTTCTCTGATGTGGAATTTTCGATTCGACGGGAGGGGGGCGGGGGGGATCTTGTCAATACTCTGCATGTGGTTTGGAATTAACCCAGTAAGCAAGGAATCATTGATACGATTATTACAATGATGATATCTTATGACATGTAACGTCTCCAGATATGTAGTTTTTCACGTTATATACGACGTCATCGTTAACGATATTTCATCCGGACGTTAAAAATAATATTTATACAACTTGATTGTAACATTTCGGAATATTATATCGTCAACATTGTATTATAACAGTTGGAAAAGCGTTTATGAAATGTGTCAAAATGTTCGTAAAATCCGCATAAAGTCAGTGTTTCAGAAGATCGATTTAATGTTTCTCGCTTACGCTGAAAACGTGAGAAACTGGCCCGGCAATAATTCACATATACATTTTCCAAGAGAAAATATTAATGTAACATAATTAACCATCCAATTCCGTATTAATATAATTAGCTCTCCAAGAATTTGTTGTATCGATGATATCATTAATGAGCAGGTGGCATCATGAATTATTGAGCAAGGAATCGACGAATACTCGGCTCTTTCGTCATTGTGTTTTTCCTTTTCTTATTTCTTTTCTTCTTTCGTTCCAGAACTGTTACGGCAAGAACACACTGTCGTCGCCCCAATGCAGACTCTGCGGCTTGTATCAACTGTTGGCGCTGCAACTGTACGCGCCGTTAGATAATTCGAAGTACCATCGGACGTTATATATCTTCGCGTGCATCAATCCGAATTGCTGGAATCAAAACGAGAGCTGGACATGCCTGAGGATACAGCATCTCGAGGACGAGAGCAAGACGAGCGCGTCGGACTGCGTAAACGTGCCGTCCACGACGGCCTGGCTGTCGGACGCGGACGATTGGGGGGATAACGTGAACGACAACGCGTCCGAGCAGAACGGGAACAACATGCTGGGGAACGATCCTCTGCAGTTTCACTTTTCTCTGCGCAAGGAGATAGACCAGGACATCCGGGAGGAGTTGTCCATGCTGCGTGTGGATGATCCGAATGCAAATAGGTTCGTGCTCGGGCTACCTGTAACCGTTGAAGTTATCCTTTGGCATTAGAAATTCAGACGCAACGAAAGGAGCAAAGGACGAAACATTGAATGTCGGGGATTAGGAAGAAGATGTTAGAAATAAGTTCTAGTTTAACGGCCGGTTCCGCTGTCGTGGTTTAAATCTAATCGGCGATTAGCTCGGTGGAATTGATCGATTGCATCGATCCGCGTTGTTCTATTATTGTATCGGCGTATTTTGGCGGAAAACAGTGTACCACTTTTCGACTGGTTGGTCTCAGAACTCGCGAGGACCAAGGAGCAAGAATACTTTTCCACCTTGAAATGTTACCCTGGAATTTCAGCCCGACCAGCGTGGATTCCCCGGTCAGCGGGGGCGCCGTGGGTCGCTTGGACTCCCCGCAGGCATCTGCGGAGATCGACGGGGACGAGAGCGAGGTCGTGTGCATCGACACCCCGACGCGGCCGCAGTGTGATCTAGTTAGTTTACTGCACGAGGTGACGCCGTTGCCGCTGCAAATCACGAACGCGGAGACCAAGTACTCCTTCGTCGAGATATTCCTGTCGGTCGACGAGGAGGACCGCAGCACGGACGTGTCCCAGCACGTGCGGGATCTGCTGGTCGAGTATCAGCACAGCAATGCGGACGTGTCGATGAAGTTCATGCCGGAATCCGGCAATCCCAAGAGCATCGACACCGACGTAGAGAAGTACGAGAAGGGTATCCCCAGGCACGGCGACGAGATATTCCATAATTTCGTCTGCAGAATACAGAGGAATCCCGGACAGTTGCTACGGTAATTTCGTTGTTGGTGACGCTTTCGTTTTCACGCGTACGAAGGTTACGCGCACGTGTTCAGAAGCACATTCATCGGAATATATATTTATGAATTTATACAATATCAATATTTGTATATATAACAATATTTTATATATATAATTTTTTGTTTCATATATATTCATATTGATATTCAGTATTCAGTATTTGTGTTGTTCTTAGATATTCGAGGGACAACGCGGCACCATTATTGCTGTACCCGCTAAGCGGCTGCATCGGCAAGTGTCGGCACTGCGGCGACGAGATGACGTTCGAGCTGCAGGTACTGCCGACGATAATACCAAAGCTGACGCTGCATCCGCGCAGCGAGCGGAATTTCCAGATCGAGTTCGGCACCGTTTTGATATACACCTGCGTGAGGAGCTGTTGGTCCGCGACCGACTCGCACCGGGAGGAACACGTGGTCGTACAGGCGGAGAGACTATAGTCGTTAAGGTACTAAACNAAACTAGGGGGGGGGGGGAAGATATTACGAGTGATGGTTCTTCCAGTGATCCTATAGAGTTTCGTATTATACGCGTCTAGGACGACTAGTCATGTTACGTCTGTAGAGAAATACCGTCCACCACCTGTTCGTGTAATACATCAGAAGTCTCCTAAGTAGCGAGCGACAACCACGTACGTTGAGAAATGACCGGACAAAGCGGATCAGTCGGACGTGGGTGAATGCATAGCGGGGAAGGGAGGGGGGATAAAGTCGAGATGGCACCTGGCACGGTGTAATAGTCAACAAGCAAACGTAAGTCGCAGCGACGCGAGCAAAACGCAAGCTTTGGCGTATGTCGTAGAATTCAGCGTGCTGCGTGGCCAAAAGTAAGTAAATATAAAACAGTCACCGACCCACGTGGGTGGATGGTTTCACAAAATCTTACGTAAGTCCGAGCCTCCATACGTCACATCTACTCTGTGCACACGTTGCACAATGCCCGGAGTAGAAACACGGCAGTGGCGGTACGCCATTACGTGACTAGTTAGACGTGTTACCAGCAGCGACACTGATCTCATACAACTGCTTCGATCCGTAGCGGTGAATTTTTTCACCAGGAATTAACCTACGTAAGTACGGCTCCGTATGTCGGGAGCTGACTGTCATTTGATCATTCCTGATTAAACGGAAAGTAATCTTGTTCGGTTACCTTAAAAAGCGAATAAAAAGATTTTTGGAGAATTTAGAATCGATGATCCGTTTTTATCCTTGAAACATTCTCTAAAGCGATTTTATATAAATAAGGACGACGAAAGATCGCAGTTAACTTGAAGTTACCATTGCTCATCGTTCGATCAAGCGTGCGAGTACAAAAGTAGATAACTGTTTTACAAGAAATTTCATAAAAGTCTCATTTGCTTTCAGGACAAACGGCTATGTGGTTGATGCGAAAGTTGATATTTCGGTTTTTTTCTTTTTTTTTTTTTATAAAAATATACATGAAACACTTGTTTTTGGTTACCGTAGCACGTACAATTCCACGACATACGCCAAAGCTTGTGCGTTGCTCTCGTCTACGACCTGCATTTGTCGTAGGCCACTACGCCCTGTTATGTGCTGCACGATCCTAAGGAGCGAACCAAGTACGTCATATCGAATTCGATGACATCGTTTGTGAGAGTCCGAGGTAAACTATCGAAATTATCAAAAATATACTAGGCTCTTTAAATTGATACTAGCGAGGTATACTTAAAGTACACATTAAGCGAAGCGTTTACTCGATCACATCGAAAGGGGGTGCTCGATATGTCGCAACCGGGACCGGCCAGCCCTCCCCTTTCACCTCCGGCTGCGTTTTCCCTCGTCAAGGGAAGAAATACCCGTGTTCTTCGTCCGGTTGTTTCTCACACCCACGACGACGACGATGGCGCGGCGACGTAGCGGAAGAGTCGGGAGCCATGCATTCCTCGAGTTACACTTATCGAGCGAGGAAGATTCTAGGGGATATGCCCGTGCGATAGAAGAGTCTGATTAAGAGCATTTATTTTACTTTTCGACTCGATCTTAGTATATAAGGTACGATTGTACAATTGCTACTGGCGTATAAATACACAGAAGAGCTCGGTGGAACGCGCGCGTGTGCACTTGCCTCCCCTCCGCCTCCCTTCGTGCGAGTCTTACTACTTACAGTACGTCTTTTTACAACGCAACGATCCTGTAAACTACGAGATAAAAGGGATGTTTTCTACAGACACACGTCTGATCGCCTCGAGCCCGTTAAACTAGCGCTCTCAGTTTTCGACTATCCCGGTCTTTCCCGACAGTCCTTCAGCGACTGAGCGCACGACTAACTTCAGACGTTACAAATCATTGATTTCTCTCAACGATAAACAGACAATAATAAACGTCTAACATTAATCGTGCTCGGTTATTGACGATAGACTCGGGGGGCGGTCGGAATCGGTATGAATCGGTAATTTCTCATATCACTCGTGTTGTCTCGTGATAAAATACATTTGAACCCGGACTTTAGTTACGTCACACGATATACGTGTGACCTTGTAATGAAAACTTGCCCGTGTGAGACGATTCAGAATATGAATCCCGAGTTAGACACTGAATTTTCCCGGCGCATCGAACGGCTATACTCGACGTCGCGAATTCGCAGCCGCGATTCCATAAATTCTTATATCTTACTCGAAACTCAGACCCGAGTGTCACGCGAGGGACGAGTTTCAATCGATCACTATTAATACGGGGGGGGGGGTCCCGCTCTTAGGAGAAACTTCCGCGATTAAACACGTGACTCACACCTAGCAAACTCTTCCTCCTCCTCACAATTCGTAGAATTGGGAAACGTTCACGTATTTCGACAAGTGTCTCGGTCCGAAGATCCCGGTGAACCGGTGTCGATCTAATAACTTCTGTTGAGCGGATGCTCGGCGAAGTATTCCTTCTTGCTGTACATGAGCTCGGCAACGTTCTTGTAGAGCCTGTCGTTGGTCTGCCACCCTTCCGACATGATCTCGTTCGCGAGCACGGCCACCCTGTCCAGGCTGAGGCTCGCGAAGCTGTTGGCGACGTGCCGGTCCTGCTCGGCGTTCCTCAGGCCGATGCAGTAGGAGCGCGAGACGCGCGACAGCACAGCCACCAAGGTGAACGTCGTCGTGGCGAGTTCGCTGAGCTTGCGCAGCTCCATTTGCTGTTCGGATATACTTAAACCGTGGCGCTCCAGCAAGGCGATCGAGGCGTGCGCCAGCTTGGTGATGCAATCGTCCAACGTGTCAGCACTTCTCTGCAGGGACGGGTGCATGTGCTCGGCGATGTGCAGCCGCAGCTTGAACTCCTTGCCGAATACCCAGCTGATGAGGAACTTCGGATACGTCAAGGGATTGCGCAGCTTGTGCACGTGCTTGAACATGTGCTTGCCGGTGTGCTGGAGACCCAGCAGCGATATGTATATGTTGGAGTCGACGTTGTAGCTGTCGTAGAGCGTGTACGACAACGCGTCCTCGAGGAACTTGATGTAGGGCTTCTCACGGAGGTAACTCTGCGCCCCGATGATCTGCAGGCCCTCGTAGACGCAGGCGGCGCACTCGTTCGCGCAGTACGCCTCCGCCATCGCCTTCTCTATCATGCAGTCCTGCTTGTCGAAGGAGTCGATCATGCCGGTGGTCATGTAGAGGACGCTCTCCATCCCGTACAGCCGGGTGGCGATCTTGCCGACCACCTCCTGAACCGCCTCGAACTCGTACAGATTCCGGTCGATGTGCTTCCTCTGCAATACGTGCGTGACCAGCACTTTCATGAACATCCTCAGTATACCGATCGCCTGCGCAGCGGTGTGCCTGTTACCCGGCGCCATCGACTCGATCAACACGTCCAGCGCGCAGCCGACCTCGCCGATGAGGTTTTCCCTGGGGACCTTGACGTCGTTGAAACTGACCGTGTTCACCGAGCTGCCCTGCTGGCCTACCAAGGTGTCGTCGTCCCGCAGAGTGATCCCCTCGGAGTTGTTCTCTACCAGAAACACGGACAGGTCCTTGTTGGAGGAGTCGCGCACCATGCCGACGCCGGACTGGGCGAAGACGAGGTACAGATTGGCGTCGCGTCCGTTCGCCACGAACCTCTTCTCGCCGTTCAGCAGCCAGCTGTCGCCCGACAGTGTGGCCCTCGTCTTCAGGTTCTGCGTGTTGAAGCCGACGGCCTCGGTGAAGCACACCGTGGGCACGATCTCGCCGCTCGCTATCCTCGGCATGTAGTTGGCCTTCTGCGCGTCCGAGGCCAGCGCGTCGATCAGTTGAATCGGCATCATGTAGTTCTTGACGAAATACGAGCCCATCCAGGGCAGGATACTGAGCACCTCCAGCAGCTTCGTCAGTTCCGTGTGCGTCAGACCCAAGCCGAGATGCGCCACGCTGACTTGAGCCCGGAAGACGTCCAGGTCCCTCAGGTGAGCGATAACCTCGTCGCGCCGGATGCCCGCCGGATTCGCCGAGCATTCCGCCATGTAACTCTCGACGGGTTTCAGCCACTCGAAGAAATGCTGATGCCTCTTCTTAGTCTGTGGCTCCGGGTAGTACACGAACTCGTGGTCGAACACGCCAAGGAACAGGTTCTTGACGAACGGCTGCCGCTGCGGCTCCTTCTTCTTGACCTCCGGCAGCCGCGTCTCGAAGTTGCTCATCTCCGGCAGTTGACTCGCCGCGCTCTGAGTGCATCGCACCGCTGCCTGGCAGCAGGAAGCTTGCCATAGTTGCCTTCGGCACAATAATCGACGCGCCAGCATCGTCGTCGTGGAACGGTTAACAGCTGACCTAACCTCGAATGAAGAACGAGTAACACGGAACAGCACGGAGACGCGTGCAAATGAGAGAGAGAGAGATCCGTTCCTCGCTGATGCACTTTCTGCACTATCCTGCGGTTTGTCGCGTTGCTCGCATTTCTCGCGCTCGTGTTGAATCTAGGGGGCCATCTAACGGGGTATCGGAGAACCCGTTTTGGTACAATGCTTGAGTTTCCGATAAACGGTCTTAATATCGGTAAAGAAGGTTCGAGTCTCGGCTAATCGCGATCTTTCCAAGTTAGTTTCGAAATCTCCGCTACGAGTCGCTGTCATTCACGGTGAAGTTTCGAGGTCGTGGTATAAGTCAACGACAAATTAGACGTTCCTTTTTCTCCTTCTTTTCGAGTAGTACGACTGAACGGCATGTCAGGCGCACTTTACTCGAGCATGGAAAAAATAGATGAAATTCAACCGGCTGTAAGAATAATGATGAATGAATGATTCGAGAAGCATCTTGCAGCGTGAAACCTTTATTCTTCAGGCATATCAAATGCATAACATTACTTTCGCTGAGATACATCGGGTTAAATAAGAAATAACGACTATTCGATATTTTATTTAATTTAGTCTTTTCAGCAATCCGATTCTGTAACTTCTTAGCAACAATTTAGCCCAGAGTATCGTTGCTTTTTTTCAATATGTTAGACCTGCGCAACGACATCACGACAACGAGACGTTAAGAGTTACAGAATAGGAATTAAGTTCTATTTTTATATATGGAAAATGTAAGTTTATAATACAAAGACATACATTTTCAAGAGGAAACTTTTATTCAGCAGTTATAGCAAACGTCACACATCGATTTATTCGTTCACAGTGAGCAGTCAAAGCCGAAAGGATGCTTTTCATTTCGACAATTCAACAACTTCGCGCTTCGTCTATTTCTGCGATTTCTCCGGCATTCACAACGTTCCCGTGTCATTTTTAACCTTCGCAACGTCATATACAATCAGACGACAACCAAGCAGATTTGTTGTCTTTTCATTTATTTCATTTATTTGTTTACGGCAATATAACAGACGCTCAATAGCGTTTCACGCGTACTGAAAAGGGATCATTGAGATCTCTTGAGGAAAATTTCAAGTAATTTCGAGATTCTAAATTTTCGTAAGCAGCCTGGATTTCCTCAAATATCTTGAATTCCTTCCTACTTTTCTATTTCCTAACTTGCGCGACGTCTGTCGCAATATTAACAATTTTAATTTAAACAATTTTAATTTTAGTAATCAACAATTATTTGGTTAGTTAATTTTAATGATGATAATTTTAACTCGTCTTCTCTTCAGAGGAATAGGATGCAGTTAGGAGGATGCGCTCGAACGAAACGCTGCCGTTGATGCTGCTGTCACTCCTGTTCATGTCGCACGGATGCGGTTTCGGCAAGCGTAGGATGCACGCGCGTCGGAAAAGCGACAGCGATAGTGACAGCAAGTGCACTTGCGCAACGCCAGTTCACTATAATTTTACGACGGCTTCTGACCGGATCATTGACCCTCATTGTGAATGCGGTCCGTCCAACTTTGGAGTGGTGCGAATGATACCATACAGCAGCCTAGAGAGCGGTGTGCACGGGGCTATTCACGTGGACTTGACTTCCGCTTGTGTCAAATGTAGCGTGTGCGCAGCCATCGCTGACGAGGTCAATGTTGCGCAACTGAATTTTAATGCGTATTTTTTAGCTCGTTTTCCCAATAAATCGATAAAAATGCAGCAGGTATAAACACGTTTTCTTAGATACAATATGGACAGGTGTCCCACGTAATATTATAGCATATAATATTACTGCTATATCGGAGTAATATTGCAATATCGCGGAAATGTTACGCGTTACAGTAAAATATTACAGAAACATTGCTGATATATTACATGTTTATAAATAACACTGGAATATTACAGTAATATCGCTGCGACATGTCATATCCCAAATAGCAAAGTGACTCCCAAATAACATTTTAGTGGTGTCTTACGTTAGAGATGTCGTATCAAGCAAATTGTGATTTTCTGAAGTTCAAATCGAGACATTAAGACGAAGTAATATAATATATATTTAAATTTTATTTAATAAAAAACTTAATTTATTATACAATTTTTTTAAGTTAAAAATTTTTTAAGTTTTTAAACGTGCAAAATTCTAAAAGAAAGACATTTTAATTGTACTCGGTATAGTTTCATTAATTGGTATAATTGGTTCGTTTGCTTGTTTTTTTTTTTCATAATTTTTGAATGCACATTGATAAATAATATGCAACAGATATAGATGACGATATGCCACCTGGTTTTTGCAGATTAACGAAACTCTGTTCGAGATTCACGACATGATGGCACCGGACGACTTGCTGACCGACACGCAGACCGTTCTCCTGCTGAGAAGCATCTGCAATCAATCCTTTCAACAGTACGGAACCGCGTCCTCTTCTCGTGATATTTTTTTTCTTTTTACGCGGGACGTACTTACGCACACATACCACATAGCCACGTAATTCTCTCGTAGCTACGGTCTGCGAGAGATCGACGGCGAACTATTTATCTCCGACCCGTTGCCGGGCGACAGACTCGTCATCTCGTCCGCTGACGGATTGTGGGAGAAGAGGTGAGCTTTCCACATGGAGTTTTCGACAAATTCATCACGAGAGATTCGCCATAAACATACAAATGTATCATAAGATTTGCCACATTATCTTATACTTCGGCTTTAAAATGACGACTGCCGCTTATAAGGCTTTCGTCTCCAAAATCCCGAGAGAATCGAATCTTGCTGTTAAGAGAAAGAAGAAAGAGAGAGAGAGAGGGCAGCTTTCTGCAGGACCGTCGTATCGCTTGTCGCGCAATCAGGACGATTCTCTTTCCTAAAGATAATCTCGATTCGGTTCTAACTATGACATTCTCGGTAGCTTGAAAAGCACGTGCCACGAATACCTCGACGAGATACAGGAGTCGCGGTTGTACAAGAACTGGCTGGAGTGGTGCGATGACGACGACCACCTGCCCGATCTGGAGGGCGTACTTTGCAGGTAAACGCGGTATTCTTCGACCAACGAATTTCGTCGACAGTCTTCGGGACAATCCGAGCGATATCTGCCGCAGCAGGAACGAGATCAGCAGCCTACGAGATTGCAGAGGGATGGATTACGTGTACAAGCCGCACGTGCCTTCGAAGGATTACAGCGCTTACGCGAAGATCCTGGCGGAGTGTCACAATTGCGGATAACCGTGTTTGTCTCTCCGACCGCGTGAAAAATATCACGCATCATTTATTATCCTTTATCGTCATCATCACCGATCATCGTCGATTGTCATACTGCCATCATAATCGTGTCGTTATCATGGACATGTTATCATCATTACTCGCATTCACATTATTATTATCAACGCTAATTATTATATATTATACATTATTATATTATTATTATTAACTAATTATATTATCACACCTCATTATAATTTATTATTATACACATATACATGTATTGCTGTCGGACAAATCACACATGTTTATTGGCTGCGCAGTTTCGATAAAACGATTTCTTAACTCGTAAACGAGCTCAAAGGCATCCCCCGCGCGTACCACGAGTGCCACGTGTACAGGGTGTTACCGTAAACGGACCGAGCGGTCGGACTGCCTCTGCAAAGGTACAGGGTTGTGAGAGAGTGAGAAAGAATGAGAGAGAGAGAGAGAGAACGCACGCAAGGAAAAAACTCAAAATCCGGAAGCGTAAGTATCTCTTGCAAGCGCTCTAAACGATCGATCGTAGTCGACGTTCGAAATGCCCGAGCGGTGGGGGTTCAATTGCAGAACGGAAAGACGGGCGCGGTGATCGCGCTCTTGTCGGCCGGCTTGATCTTCCGCCTGGACAGGCCCGAGAGGGTGGCCCGGACGGCTCTCTTCGGCCGTCGTCGCACCTGGAACCGCGAAGGATCCACCTGCGGGTCCACCGTCGCTCTCTCCGGACTGTCGTCGGGCCGTCCCTTCGCGAGGCCGACGAAGGCCACTTGGCGTGCCTGCTTCCGCAGCTCGGCCAGGTACGCGGGGTCGGCCGTCGCGTCAACGCGGAAGCGATGATCGAGTCGGTGGTCGGGCCGGTGATGCCGGCCGAGAGGAGGACGATGATGGTGGTGCTGGTGGAAGTGGAGGTGCGGTATGAGGTGGTGCTGCCGGATGCCGCGCACTATCGTCTCCCGCATCTGCCGGCGCTTCTTCCACACCCGCTCGAGGATGGCGAAGGTGAGCGCCGTGAGCAGGCCCGCCACGAGGATGAAGAAGGCCGAGTAAACATCGGCGAGCCTCGCGCTGTGGAAGGTGGTCAGGGTCGCGCAACGCGGCATCGACGGCAGCATCTGCTGCGCTATCCTGTCCAGAACGCCGCGCTCGTATATGCGCAGTATGCTGCGAACAGTTTGCGACATTAGATGTATTTCGGCACTATTTGCGACGGCGTACGTAAAATGATGAATCTTTTCTCGTCTCTGTCGCGAGAACATTTCCTGCGGTCTCGTTCCGTGCACGTACTTGAGGTTGATGATCTTCCGGTACGGACAACTGTTGGCCGTGGGAAGAGCCACCACCGTGAAGGTCTGCGGCAGCGGCAGCTCCTTCAGGCTGCACCGCTCCTGTATCAGGGTGGTCTCGAGGGCGCGTCGCGCCAGAGTCGCGCTCACGAAGAACCCGTATCGGCCACGGACGGCTTTCAAGAGGCCGGTCGTCGTCTCCAAACGAGACTCGCGGCTGTTGAACGCCTTTATGTACAGCTGGCGCAGATTACTGTCGTTTACGTTCTGGAAGAGAATGCGAGCGATGCCAAGGGGAAACTGTAACTCCCGGCGGGATTAACGATTTTTCTTTCCAAACCAAGGTGGCTCAAGGGACTCGTGCAGTTTCGAATAATACGATTGATCCCTACTTGAATTCGGATGTCCGAAACTTCCGGCTACCGCGGTCACACCGGTGAAAATCTAGGAAACGTGAGAAATCTCGTACGCACGTACTCTTATGTACTCGTCGTCGGCGACGCTGTAGCCCAGCCTGAAATTGTTGAAGAGCAGATCGGTGATCGACCTGATCCCACTGGCCTGCACCGACAGTATAGACGTGATGAATCCGGCGTAGGCGTTGTACATGACGAGCGAGAACATCAGGCTGAACAGCATCAGGGTCTTGCCGGACGGAGTTCGCGGTATCCACGGTGACCCTGGAAAGTTCCCGACTCACCGTCTTACCAAGCACTCGCGAGAGAACAACAACCCAGGGGATGAATGAAATCCCGTGGCGTATCCGGCCGTATCCGATAGATAATCGTTTCGCAATTTTCATTAATCAGCTCGCGGTTAATTACTAAACTCGCGACACGCGTGAACCCAAATACGTGTTTCGGGCTGATGAAGGTAATTCCGGTTATCGGCGTTAGCGTGAAGCGCTAAATAGCGAGCACCAAGCGCGACGGAAGGAGACGAGGAAGAAGGGACGGTGGGGGCAACCTTGCATGCACATGATGCTGATGCACCAGAGCGCGGCCTCGCCGATGCCGGCGTGCTTCTCGTCTTCGTTGTGCAGTATCGTCTTGGCGGCGTAAATCACCGTCGCCATCGCGATCAGCAACAAGAGGCACGTCGCCGCGACGCAGCCGAGCAGCTGGTTGTTGAACGGCTGCAAAAATATATCCCTCATCGTGCCGGTCTCCAGCGGATGGTAATAAATGTTCCTCCTGCGCAAGACACCGGTGAATCGTGCGAGAGGGAATGTACGTCATACGTTCTAATAGTTCTTAATATTCATGAATTCCAGCAGAAAAGTCACTCTCCCGTTTACGCGCTTCCGTTCATCGATCGGAAATCGAACTCGACTCGCGTCGGAAGGTTTTGCGAAATCTAGTCTCAATTGATTATGAATTTTTACAAATTCTCATAGATACACATCGCCTGTCATACCGGACACCGGCAAGTGGAAATGAATGTGCGCCCTGCGCAGGAAAGCGGTTAATCGTGTGAATTAAACTTCCTGCCGTTCAAACAAATTTTTTCCCGTTCAAACGAATTTTTTTTTTTTCGTTGCTGTCGTTATATTGACAAATATTCGCTGTTCCAGCGAAATTTGTTTCCTCCGTGGTGGCTTATCGCCGGATAGGTTCATAGAATCGACGTGTTCTCACTGACATGTAACGTATCAGAGGGTAACTGAAAGTCATCTCGCTCAGGCGCTCTTCGTTGACGGTGATGTAGCCCAAGCCAATGTCGACAGTGCCCGAGACGACGTCGCCGAGAAGGTGATTCCACACCTTGTTGGTCAGTATGCCGAGCTTCTCGTACGGCACCAGCTCGATGCTGCGAAGAGATCGAGAAAGATACAGGTATGAATTTTATTTAACTTACATATTTGAATTGAGACGCTTCCTCTCAGTTTGGGACGGTCGAAGTTTTCAGTTTTTTACCTAGCGTTCACATTGCTGGTGACGAAAGTGGCCAAGTCTAAGAGCGGCGCGATATCGTTGGCTTCTGCCTCTATGACGTCCGTTTGTCCATCATTCGTGCCATTCAGCACGCCAAAGATGATGGGGAGGCCGTTGAAGTCGTTTCTCAGCTTAACGCTGACCGGCGGCTTGAGGGTGTGAGCACCCGGGTTCCAGAAGCCGAGGTACCGTGTCACGAGACTCGTGTTATCGGAGTTGCGTATCTTGTAGGTGTGCACCATGTAGAAGGAGACCGTACGGTTCTCCAGGATCACGTAGCTCAGATTGCTAGTGGCATTCTCGACGTTGCGTCGCTCGGGCGGCCCCGTGAACTCGAAGCGATCACCGTAACGTCGAAATGACAAACATGTCCTGCAAAAGGTGCCGTTTGAAACGCTGTAAATCGCCTCGGCTAATACCACGAGCAACAATATTCGTGGTAAAAATAATATCTTGTGAAAATAGGAGCAAAAAGAGGAGGCAAGATGACGCAAAGGGGAAATCGATCACACCTTTCGTTCATGTTTTCCGTTCGTTCGTATTTTTGGTGAGAGTGTGTTCTGACGCTAAAATTCCGAAAGGCGTGCCAACTTGTTTCTATCTCTTCTTTAAGCAAAGATAGAAGACGGAAAATAAGAGAATTTTATTCACTTCTCTTAATTTCCTTGTGCGACAAATCGACAAGTAAAGGAGATTCGTGTCCTTCGCTCAGAAAAACGAAGTTTCGTAGCGCGTATGCAAGATGAACGAGTCCCGGTGATTACTGTATAACTCACTTGTTCCAATACTTCTGTGCATATTTCCAGGCTGTCGCGTCATTCGGCAACGGTGAAGTGGCAACGACTACATCACTGTCGATGCCGATATTGAGATCCCGAAGAACCGCATCGATGGTGGAGTCGGTGTCCCGGGTGGTCACCAGGAACCAGGAGACGTAATAGTTGAACAAAAGCTTTTGAGAGGCCTGTCAAAACGCAATCGTTATAATCGAGACCGATTATAATCGAAATTTTATGAAATTTTACGATAAAGATGAAATTCTGAAAGTTTATTTCCTTTATTAAATGATCGATGAGAAGTGAAAAATTTTCGAGGACGGAAATTTTATAATATCCTATCTTTTACGCAAGAAATAGAATATCAATATAAAAGTGAAAGTAGTCATAAGTGTCCGTTGGACTATTTCCAGTGTTAAAGTGGGGCAAATTTTAAATTTCACAAGAGCAACGCTGTTTACTTTTTTTGTTCGATTGTTGCGAAAGAAAGGTCGCTATAAATTATACAGTAAGCCAGGGTCCGAGGTTACGAGTTCGAGCATTAACGAGCGATAACGAATAAAATAATGAACTCGGAGTTGATAGAACTTTTTGATAGGGAGAACGGAGACAGAGCGGAGATACAATCTAAAAACATTTTGCGATAGGATTATATCGACGACGAGATGTCCCAGATCGAGCGTATGATCGTTTAATATCGTTAATTTCTATGGGGAATAGAATTGAATGGGTCTCTCGAAGACGAAGAAGAAGAAAAACTTATTTCGTCTACAGGCAAATACACGTTTATCGATTACACAGGCAATTACATGTTTCATCGTTGGAATCGATTAATATTAATATACACGTAGGAATTAATTCCGCTTGGAAATTAAGTGAATTTCTTCCGACGCAACACGCTTGTGCTCGATTTCTCATGTTTAGAAGGTTTATACATTTATAAATAATATATTTATAAATAATCAAATATGATATTAATTCTTTCTACAGAGCGTTCAAGAAGTTTTACACAGAAGTTTTACACATAAATGGATGAAGTTTTAATGTTCTTTTTATTATTTTTATGAAATATATATAATTATAATAAAAAATGGTTAAATCCAATGAAATAACGTTCCTTTTCTTTTTTTCGGAGGGAAATAATGATTCGGATAAATCTATCATTGTGTATTCTCACGATTTCCAATCTCGATGAATTCCCATCAAGGAGCGGAGTTCATATTACTCGGGTGGAAAAATCATACCATTTGGATAACATTGTCAGGTGACGTCAGATTAAGTTCGTCCAGCAGCACAATCGATCCGACGCGGTGCGTCCGGATGGTAAGCGCGTCTGGTATGTTTGGATTCGTCGCTGATTGCAACGAAACGCTGATACCCTTCTCTCCGAAACACTCGATCAACGGCCGAGCGTAATTAAGCGCACAATCTGTGATCATTGTGCGATTATTGTCGGGTCAGTCGGGTTATTATTATTATATGGCAATGTCATAAGCAACATATTAATTGAATGATGTAACTTTATGTTAGATAAATATTAATGAATTTTTTTTATTTCAATGGAAAAATATTTAATATATAATGAGACAAATTTTTTTTTTAATTGAAAACCAAGTATTATTTCCTTAAAATACACTAATATAATACTGTTTTCTTCTATCAAACAATGCTTTTACTCTAACACTCCTGAGCATTTTTAACCCTTTGCACTCGAGGGCTCCGGAGCGGAGCCATTTAAAATTTGTCTTCAAACTCGAGAGCTACGCTATGAAGACAATGCAAATAACTTTCAGTTCATAACATAAGGACAAAGACAAATCGTAAAAACTATTGTGTATAGGATATTCCGCTCTTGCTATTTGCATTGTCTCCATAGCGGAGCCCTCGAGTTTGAAGACAAATTTTAAATGGCTCCGCTCCGGAGCCCTCAAGTGCAAAGGGTTAATAGTAATTCAGACGGTGATACTCACTGAACGGGCTAACGTTACCGAAGAGGACCACTTGGTTCCAAAATCGCCATTCCGCGTACTCCAGTATTAATTGCAGCGTCAACGGCGACGGCAAAATGCACGACTTCGTGGTCACGTGTAACATCAGTAATACTAACAGCGTGGACTTTGCTTTACCACGCATAACCGACGTCATAATTCCAGCTTGAGGAAAATATTATGAAGGACGTATTAAGATTTTATGAAAAATCTTTCAAAGTTGCACGTGTGCTGAGAAGGTGCGTCAAGGTGAATCTAGAGCAAGCATGAACGAGCACAAACGAATGTCTGCGAACGAGTTTGAAATATGAGCGTGGACAAACATGCTCTTTGATGTACCGACACGACACGAAATCGAACACAATCGTTTATGCTCGTCCGTTTGATCTGGATTCATCTTTACAGAACAGAACAAATATTTAAGAACATCACAACAGATCGCCAACAACTCTTTTCTTATCATCTCTTTTCCTATGTTATTTCCATTGAACGAAAAAATGATGCTTCATCACGAACCGTCATTAATGTGCGAACACTGATATTATTCCGATGTTAAGATCGAATTTTATTACACTGGCCAATTTTCATCCTGCTAACGAACCAATCGCAAGAACGCGAGCTTCGCGTGCGACTACGAGTATCAGCGCGTTCCTCGAGGTTCGTTAAATTCTTAATTCATCGTTCGCACGCTCCGTCGGCGTACAAATATCGACAATGCGGTGAACTTTCGACGAAAAGGAAAAAAAACTGACACTGACGGCCGCAACGATGGAAAGAACGAAAACTTCTGCTGGCCACGTTATTCATCACTTGTCGATAGAGGCAGAAAAAGAAATGATCGACACGTAACAGATACACACGCACACATAGATATATAGAAGAAAAGCACTAAAATCGATGTATTATTTTATTTCGGGATCTAAAGTTTTGTGGGAGGTGTAAAATTAAAATTTATGTGCATGGATGCAAATCAGAGATATTATATATATTGATAGAAAAATATCTCTGATTTGCATTCATGCACATAAATTTTAATTTTACACGAATCTCCTTTACTTGTCGATTTATCGCACAAGGAAGGTAAGAGAAATTAATAAAATTTTCTTATTTTCCGTCTTCTATCTTTGTTTAAGGAAGAGATAGAAACAAGTTGGCACGACTTTCGGAATTTTATCATACGAGTATATATATATATATAATAGTCTTATAAAAATTATTATATATATTTTTACAAATAACTATTTTTTTAAATGCTTGAGGATTGACATTTCTAGGAAAATTAAGCCCCAAAACCCATATATGATTAAACTTTAATTCCAGTGAAAGACAAACAATATTAAATATTTCCGTTCAAAACGAACAGCCAAACCGTTATAATGACATATATGTTAGAGCAAAATCTTGTACACAGTAGATAAAATTCATATTCTGCCCGACAGAGTTTAATACTTACAACCAAGAAACATGAGTATGTCGGTTTACCATACCTATGTCAATTTTGATGTTTTATACTTCTCTCTCTCTCTCTCTCTCTCTGTCTCTCTCGCTCACTCTTTTTATGTGCGTACATCGGATAAAACAAATATATTTTTTTATATTCGATATAATATGTAAATTACCTTATTCACTTTCCCGTTGATGATTCCATCAGGTTCTATTGGTTCCCAGTATGTCTTCACGCGATCGACTATCGACAGACCCAACATGGCAAACCGTTTCAGCTCGTTGTCGATGTCACTCGAGGATAGAGATCGGGATAGATCTTTGTCTAAAAGCAATCGTGCGTGACTTGCGTAGTCGCGCATTAGTCATTAATATGATGGCCCCACAGGGGGAAATGATCGAACAAAGTAGAAATGTGTGGATCGAATATCACTCCGAATTAAGTCACAACTCGTCCGCGATCTTTCGAACTTTTAGCCGGCCTTTCTGGGCCGGACATTGGATTGCTCGTAAAATAATATTGCGTCGACGAAGTCGACGTGATTCGAACGTATCGTGAATACCGGACGAAATTTCGCCAGACAGGAGTTCTTTCTCTTTTCCTCAGGCAAAATCGTTTCGCAAATCGGTATGATATTCTCTCGCGGGATTACCTTCTTCCTTTTAACGGTCGTTACATACAAGCGGATGTCTGCACGAAGAAAACAAGTTTTGTTGGAACATCAAATTGTTTGTTAACATAGCGACAGCAGAAAGATTTGTTACGCGGAAAAAATAATTTTGTCGTTATGACATATACAAGTAAATAAAATAAAATTGGTTGGAAACAAAATTTTATTGGCGTAACCGAATTATTTTGCATATCCAGCAAATAACAATTTTGCATATCCAGCAAATAGCAATTAATATTCTTAACATATTTTTTGGTTGTCACTGTATTAACAAACAATTTGCAGTACGTTTTCCTCTTGCGATTAAAGTTGTATCGCACGTTAACAGAGAGTGCCGAAAAGTTACTCGTAGTGGATCGTTGAAACCGACGGCGACCGCTGACTGAAAGCCGGTCTATTGAACTTACGCGATTACAAGAAAAACTCGTAATAAAGGCTGACTGCCGACAACCAGGTTCGAGGCTTTCGTTTCGTAAGGCTTTTGTTTCGTTATAGACGTTGCGTCAATCATACAACGACAGCTGCTAAGTGCCGTTGAAATAATTCATTCCAGAGAAGCATTCGAATATAATATGAGAATCACCCTGGAAATAACGAACCTAATAAGCAAAGCGGAAGTGCTAGTTTGGTCGCAAAATCGCAAAAATCATGCCACATCTTTCGCACGTCGCCACGACGAGACATACAAATAAAATAATTTGATTTTAACAAGCTGTTTGTTAGATTTTTCTGGTGTGTTAATTAGTTGCGTTTCGAACTGCATAAAAAAAAAATAGCGGACAACCTTTCAGTCGGCGACTATATTTAGTTCATTTGCGGCATCAAATTTAAAGTGACACAAATTTTATATACAGTGGCGGACATATATTTACATACAGTTAGGAAAATTAATTCGTTTTATTCGTTATGTACTTATACATGAAATGGTTAAACAAAAAGTCCATTACGTTTTTTACAAGTTTATAGCATATATTACGAGATAGCAAAACAGTATTTATCGATTTACAATAACTAAGAAGTTTCTTGTGTTTGCTCAAGTGTCATATTTTTTGCGGACACGTACGTAAGTACGTACTTACTTACGTTACTGTGGTAATACACAGATAGGTTAAAATTTCTGCAATGTAAACAATACTTATCAGTATTTACCGAGTAATGTAGATAGAGAGACGTGTTGTGATAATGTTGACAACTGTGATAAGCAAAAGAAAGAATATAACGCTAGAACAACGTCGGCAAATACAACAGCTTCGCAAAAATAGAAAGTCTTATCGGAAGATTTCTACAGAGCTTGGTATATCTGTTATAGATTGTTATCAAGCTATACAACATATTAAACGTCATGGAACGCCAGATAATGTTCCTCGTAAAGCGAGACCACGAGAAACGGTGAGACCACGGTGAGTTTCGTGTCGTTATCTGCTTGATAGATCCATTCTTTCGGCATATATTCTTCAGCAAATGGAAGCAATACATTTTCTACGATGTTCAAGTACGTAAATCTGTCCATGATTCGGCGAGGAACATTATCTGGCGTTCCATGACGTTTAATATGTTGTATAGCTTGATAACAAGCCATAACAGATATCCTTAGCTCTGTAGAAATCTTCCGATAAGACTTTCTATTTTTGCAAAGCTGCTGTATTTGCCGACGTTGTTCTAGCGTTATATTCTTTCTTTTACTTATCACAGCTGTCAACACTATCACAACACGTCTCTCTATCTACATTACTCGGTAAATACTGATAAGTATTATTTACATTGCAGAAATTTTGACCTATCTGTGTAATATCACAGTGTACGTAAGTACGTGTCCTCCGAAAATATGACACTTGAGCAAACAAACACAAGAAACTTTTTAATTATTGTAAATCGATAAACATTGTTTTGCTATCTTATAATATATACTATAAACTTGTAGAAAACGTAATGGACTTTTGCTTAACTGTTTCATGTATAAGTACATAACGAATAAAACTTAATTTCCCTAACTGTACGTAAGTATATGTCCTCCACTGTATATACACAAATTTTATATATATACAATAAAAAAAAAATATATATATATATACAAGAAGCTCAGTGCTGCTATTAACCACGTGTATTATGTATGTAACCAAGTATGAAACTATAATATCGACGAATCTTCTCTAAAGATAATAGTAATGACTTCTTTCCCGTGCTATCATAGAAAAGATTCTATTATCCATAGAGAAGATTCGTCGATATTGTGGTTTCTTGATTTATCTACATCATACTCTGCTTCACGATTATACGGATGCATACTATATATGCGTTAGTAGCAGCAGCGAGCTCGCTGGTGGAGAAGCTCGCATTCCCGGTTTTCACAGCACTCTTCAAGCTATTAAAATCGGTAAGGTTGTTGCAGAGTTTAACACTACTTATATACTAGTGAGTGTATCCGGATATCCGAATATTATCCGGATATTTAAATAATATGAATAGCATTGTCCACACTATTGATGGCACGAAGTATCCGAATAATATCTGTAGGACGAATTTTTATTCATAGTCATATATTATATCCGAATATTCGGATATCCGAACAACGAATATGATCGGGATTCAAGTCGCAGTCCTAGTTAGCAAGTCGTACACACAGAAAGATTTAAATCAATATTATTTAAAACGTTAATCCATTTGGCCGAAGCAAAGATACTACCGAATGCAATATTCGAATAAAACTAACTCATGACGATCAATTTGATTATACCGTTACATTATTAAGATTCGTTAGGAGACGTTTTTAATTGCAATGAATGTCACGTAAAGTCGAATCTATTAAATTTTCATTAACATAATCATTAATGCTTATGCATTAAAAAGGTATCATTAATGCTTATGCATCAAAAAAGTAACTAAGACTTTCAGAACAGGCATTGTTGTTCACATGCATGAAAATACACATGCGCGATAACGAAAAGTGAACTTTGACGGCAGGAATCGTTCAGCGAACGCGTGTTCTTTGTTGGATGATGGAATCGAATGTCATTTCCGCGATGATTGCGAAGCTGATTTATGAATAATATTGATGCGATCAAATCTCGCAGTTTTACACCGATAAAAAACATCTGATCTTAATTTGAATTTTTCTCACATCAACGTATCTCGCA